TTGTGTATTTGTAATTACTGGGTTTCAAAACAGCCTGTGAGTGGTGTACCTGCTGAAACTCAAAATAGTCTCGTATCAATGGTTTAGTATTACCAGCACTGCAGAGACATCGCATCATGGAAAATGGAGAGTTACTTCATCATTAGGAGGAGAAACTGTCTTATTGAAGAAAAAATGAAACCGTAGTCGAGAAAGGGCGAATTATGTTTGGGTGATTGGTTTATGATATCTCCCTACAGAAAGGATTCATCGAGAGAATGGCAAACAGAAGGTCAATCAACTTAGTATCTATTATTACTCGACTTTGTGAAACAGGGATCTATAATACACACCGATGATTGGGAAGGGGTTGTAACTCCCTGTCATCCCTTGGATATATTTATCACAGCGTGAACTATTCTAATGATTCTGTGCATCCCATTACAGAGACACACCAGTTCTATAGAAGGCTTTTGGAGACGGTTAAAAACAGGATTAAGGCTATAAATGGATCTCAGAGCGATGTCATTTATAGTCATTTACACGAATATTTGTATATAGGGTGTGGTGTAACATTTCCATTGATACTCCTATCCTTAACTGGGAGATGTTTCTATCACATATCAGAGAAATGTACGCTATGTAACACTTTTATGCAGTTTTTTCATAACCAAAAATGCCTCTTCCATGTGCTTGGTTCGTTCAAGGCTGATTCGCTGTTTGGCAGTTATTGGTGCTTAAAGTTTAACGTCGCCACAATGAAATTACGCAGAACACGCTCACACTATTCATCAGTGAAATGATGGAGACGTTAAACATTTCCGAGAAAACCTACGCAAAAAGATACCGGGACTCTCTATGATTGGAAGTTCTACACGATTTTTTGCATAGGCATCAAATACTCAGATGAAGAGTACGAATGAAGGCCAAAAAATATAATAATCAAAAGGATATTGAAATGTGAACGACACTGTCAGAACTTCCATACATTTATTCCCCTTAATAAATTTGAATAAACCAATAACAACAGTTTATGAAGATGGTACCATCACTGTTTATTTCGTTGGCTTCTCATCAGCTCTGCTCCATACAGCCCAAATTCATCACCAAATGTCTCTACAGAAACAATTTTAACATACTTGCACAGAGTTAATTTTTAGACAAAACTTCGATCAATCAATATATGCACACAGTACTAGTATACATAATAATAAAGACATTATCCCAAGCAACAATAATGATCATACACAATGGAAACTTCCGGTATTGCGTAATCAGATGAAAGAGAGGATGGAAATATCCAGTTACCAGGCATGGCAAGGCAAGGAAAGACTAATACTGACTGTTTATTTCTGACCGCATAAATAAATTGGGTTTCAGGTGCTCGATGGAGATTGCTTTGGCAAATTTGAGGAGAATTGAAGTCTTTTGTCTGTTGATTATTTTGAACGATCTTGCGACGTCCATCTTATGACCCATGTGAAGGAGATTGCTGGCGACGGCAGTGTTCAAACAAAGCATTTGTTCCCAGCTGGAGACATGGTCTTTTTGGTAAATGTTCAGGAGATCAGAGATATGCACTTCTTTTTGTTCTTCCAATGTAACTGCTCTCGCAGAAACACGTAAATTTGTATATACAGTTGGAGTTGTTAACATGAGAAGGATATCTGTCGATTTTTGATTGCACTAAAGAGCATGCTGTTCGATTGACAGGAACCAACTTAGCTAGCTGCAGAATAGGCTCTGGCTAGTGACGTCCTCAATCTTCTGTTGACAATTGCTGTGATATTTTCGTCTTCCGCACTTGTTATTGTATCTTTGAAGGTAATCGTTGTTTTCCAAGATCTTTTGGAGAATCGTAAATTCTTCTTCTAATTTCTCTGTAGAGCATAATGTCCTAGCCCTGTAGTATAGAGTCTTGACTAGTGCTCGCTTAAAGCTAGCTATTTGGACAAAAACTATTGGAATGTAGGTATTGTCGTCTGTATGTAGGTGGGTTTGCGTAAATTGGCTTCTGGAGACTACTGTCTTCTAAGCGTTGCATGGCAATGTCGAAGAAATGGAACATTCCGTCATTTTCATGCTCCATAGTAAATTCAGTATTTGTATATGAGTGCGTTTTTGAATAATCTGAGTAGGCAGATAGGAAGCATGGCTTTCATTGTTGCACACTACAAATGTGCAATCGACATATAGGGAATAGGAAGTTGTTTCGTCGATTGCATGCTTCAACTTTGTTGTCTCAAGGTTGGACATAAAGATATCTGCTAAAACAGGGCTAAGTTGACTACCCATCTATTTGGCGTTAAAGAGCGTTGTCAAACTGGAATTGCACATCCATGGTACACATTAGCAGTAGGCGTTTGATTTCCGATTCTGGAAGTGGGAGAAGATCAGACTGCTGACAAATGATCTCAATAGTTTCATTGATTGGGATCATTGTAAACAAGGTGGTTGCATCAAATGACACCATGAATTTATTTGAAACGTTCATGTGGTCTACACTTTCGGCGAAATAAAATGAGTCTTTCATGGTGTGCACGTCTAGCCGTTGAAGAATAGGTTTAAAGTTCTTCTCCAGCCTACAAGCTGCATTATGTTGGGACGAGTTGATCATCGAAAGTATAGATCTCAGGGGGACTTGTTTTTCGTGTTTTTGGAAAGCTATACATGTGCGCTTAACGAGACCCTTGGGTTTCCAATTTATTGTACGTACTGTTGTCAACCAATTCCTTCTTTAAAAGATCTCTCAGTACGTTTGTGATACATTTTTCAACTGCATCTGTCTTATCTTTCTGGCAATCGTCAACTTTAAACCTCAACGGGTCATTTGACACAGTTTTCATCTTTGCTATGTTGTCATCTCCGTCCATTAGCACCACTCCTGAGCCTTTGTCAGATCACAGTCTGACGATTTTGTCATTATTTTTGAAAGCTTTCAATGCTCTTTGATGCTTTTCAAAGAGGGTTTGGAAATGTGAATTTTTAAGCAATATAGTAGAGAAGCATCAACACACGTGTTTTTCGTTTTGACGAGAGACCATAATACACTGGAATTAACTTGTACGTACTCTCTAAGTACTATTAGTTTCATTTTTATAAAACAGTGAACGATATGTTCATCTTTTTTGAGTAGTGTGTATTATATTTACTGCTATTACACTGCCACTATCTCTCCTGTGTGACATGGTTGTGATTGTACTACTGAAACCTTGATCACCTTACAATCAAAAAGTTTCTTCAGCTGTGCTCCAATATATGCTTACAATTATATTCCTACTTTTTGTTTGTTTAATCTGTGATGCTGTGTGGTATCCACATACATATAAGTTGGTATGAACAATTGGAGTACGTAACATGAAAGTGGGACTTGCTAACTTGAGATTGTTTGAATAAGCAATTTGTTCGATGAACTGTTACAACAGCAGAAGGTAAGACACGGAAGCCAAAGTATATATTCAATGGGTCAAACCGCTATATATACATATATATATATATATAATTCCTTTACGTTCCCAGTGGAACATAGGGCTTCTACTTAGAGACTTGAAGTTTTGGTAGCAGTGGTGTTTATTCTTTTACGAGAGGCGGTTGCTGTTAGTCGCATGTCCCCAACCTTTCCTCTTTATCAGTCTTATTACTGGTTTGTCTAGCGAGGTAAAGGAGTGCGTTGGTGGCCGGTCTGGGATCGAACCACATGCATGGCTGGCAAACATTCTATCGTTTTTCCACCGACGCGCTATTTATATATATCCATACAGTTTATATTCTTTTAACCAATCACTAAGCCAGCGTGTGATTTCAGTTTACATTAAACGACATGAAATAGAATGTTCAGATATACTTATATGGTATAGTATTCTGTTGCTAATTCACTATTGAATTGTGGTAGTAGTATTTGTGAGAATAACATTCCATTGAAACGCATTGTTGTGTGTGTATCACCACCACGCTATGAGTAGTCTGGTGGTGGTAGCTGGATAACTTCGTTTATAGAAGCAGCATTTTTATTTTTTGTATTTCATTCTTCCCAATGCCTCATTTGTCTTTGAAGAATGATTTCTTCAATAAAATTTCAAGGATATCCGCTGCCCTGTAAACATTTATTCAACAGGGATGAATTCAGTCACTAGATCTTTCTATCGAATAAAGTTTTTCCCATGCTGTAGAACACAGTGTTCCCATCAGACCTGTTTGTTGTTGTTGTTGCAAGTTATTGGACAAAAACAGCTTTATTTCTCTACCGTTGTTTATTCCCCTGTTCTAGCTATTATTGTCTCCTTTACTTCCAAGAGCAGCATAGGGCTTCAGCCTCATGACTTCATCGAATTTGGCGTTCTCCGCTACCAACGTTTTCTCACCTCGCTCCACATCTGCCCACATGCTTTCATCTCCTCTTCGCATCACCTCCTCCTGCATGTCACCCTCACTCACTGACGACCAACTAACTCGCCGCTTCCCTCCTATTCGGGTTCCACTCGAGAGACAGAAAGAGAGAGAGAGCCTGGTGTGTGATGTCACTACTCACTTGATGGTTTGCTTTCTCAGAGTATGGCTGCAATCCAATCCACGTTGATTTCTTCCTGCATATTTGTTGCACACAATTGGCTCGTGCTGGGTTCGGTGGGGTTGGTTCGTTGTCAGAGATCCGTGTTGCTGATGTGTTCTGACCGGCCATTTGATATTGAGCGAATACAGCTGTTAACGAGGGAGGGTCTGTAGTTTGTTCAAAATGGCCTTCTTGGCGCGGCTCGGCGCGGCACCAATTCTCTTATTCGTATATAGGAGCACTGACTTCACATTTGAGTTGAAAATCCGGATCTTATTTTTCGTACTGAGTGCTGTTCATCTCTGCACAGACTTGAGAGTATTAAGAAAATAGTTAAATTAATAAATAAAACAATTTTATCCTTACATTAACAGCATTGAGTAATGATACTATTATATATTTAATATTACTCATTACTCATATTCGTCATTATTGTTTATTTGTTTTTCTTTTTATGTTGTTGTTTTTCTAGTCGCTCAGCAAGCCATCAGTTTTGTGAATAATAATCCGGATTACTTTAGCAATACTGAATATGCGTTAACACTGGATGTGCATAACTTGACCTGTTCTCAAGATGTTGTATTGAATGATTATTTTGATTTAGTAACAAAATCAAAAGATCAGAAAATTATTGGAGTTATTGGTGAGTCGATCAGTTTGCTTGATGATGAATCAGTGTGTTTTACACTTTTGAGGAAATGGAATAGGAAATGTGCTTGTATTCAATCCCAGTCACATTGAAATACAATACTCTCAGTGTCTTGTTTTGCCGAGACACTTTCAAGGAAAGTCGACACATCTTTGAACAAACAAATAAAGAATAAATGCAGGAGGAGGAGGAGGATTAAAAAAGTCAGCAATCCACAGGAAGACTTGTCTCCTTTTTTGTATATCGGGATAATCAATGACTTACACCAACCCAACGGGACTTCCTCTGATTCTCAGACGCTGTCTAGTACCTTAGTTAACGCAGACAGTATAGTGTCTCCACCATACTTAAATACCTCTGGAGTCATTCCATCAGATCCTGCTGCTTTGCCTCGTTTCAGGCTATTGACAGCCTTAGTAACCTCAGTTAAGGACAGAGGACCTGTGTGTATATCCTATTCAGGGAGGTGTTGGATGTTCGGTAAGTTGAGCGTGGCGGTGCGGCATTATACTCCTGTCTATCCGAAGCAAAATGCTAAGTCGCATCATCCGGGAGAGAATCAGACACGCCCTGAATAAAAAACTTCGATGAGAACAGGCTGGATTCAGGAGAAATAAGTCATGCATCGATCAAATCGCAACACTACGTATTATCATATGCGTTGGTGGCACAGCGGTAGAATGCTCGCCGACAACGATGCACCTAAGTGTTTCGGGGTTCATTTCTCGACCGACGCACTTCTTTGCCACGCTAAGCTAATAATAAGACCGGTAGAGATGGAAGGTTAGGACATGAGGTTACCGGCAACCCCATCCCGTTAAAATAAACACCACTGCTAACGAGACTCCAGGCCTCTACCTTCTAGGCGCCCTATGTTCGATTGGGAACGTAAAAGAATAAGAAAGAAAGAACGTATGGGGAGTAGCACTCAGCTCTCTATCTCTACCTCAGTTTTATCGACTCTGAATAGGTCTTTAGCAGACAGTGTCAATCAAGAGGTGATTTGGAAACTACTTTGCTACTACAAGAACTAAAAGACATGATAATATTAATTTGGCTTTTAGAACCTCTTGTCGATTGGTTTGATTAAAATAACAGACTGTCAGCGAAGAGTTACTGCATATCCGATGTTACGACAAATCACGTCCATTGTAGATTTAGTGACTGAATAAACTTCTGTATGAAGAGTTCAGGATTTAAAATGTGATGAATTGCCATTGCTTCTGCGAGGTTTGAAGAAGTTTGATTCCTTCTCCTTCAACAAGATTCCCACGTATTCTGTAGATAACTCTGAAGTTATTTTGTAGGTTTTCCCCAATGAATGGGACAGACATACACATATATTCCAAGTGTCTGCCTGAATGTGTTGACCTTTTATGAAGAGATTAGCCTTTATTATTTACCATCTCTTGACTCAAGCAGTTTGAAAAAGGTCATCGAATTCAATCGTCTTTGGAAAAATGCTATTTGTCTATTATTAAATGACGCGTCGTTTCCACCACAAAAGGATTACACGGATGAAGATGTCAAAGTCGGTCAGCCAGCCGGAATCGGAATGACAAGCAAGATACACACACCTTCATCAACCTGAAACCAGTTTGCAAATCCTCTGCACTGCACTCCGAATCAGTAAAAACAACAACATTCGGATTCTATTCAACACCAATGTCAAGCCAGTCAGTCAGTTCTTCTATACGGATAAGAAACCTGCACTGCGTGTGCGTCACTGAAAGCAATTCCAACAGGTCACTGCAGACTTTCATCAACAACTGCCACCTTCGCTGACTGGCTGGCTGCATATTAAAGATCAAATGGTCAGAAAGAATTAGTAACAAGAAACTGTGTAGTGGAACAAACCAACCAACAGAGCAAGAGCCGGTCTCTCAACAAAAGTATGTGGGAGAAATGGATTGGTGATGTATTGATCAGGCATGCATTGAGGAGGGGAACCGTCAAAGGACATCGCGCGCAATGCAGGCCATCATCCATCACTCGAGTGGAATCCCAATATGAAGTGACGGTGAGAGGGTGACGCGGAGGAGATCGTGTGGCGAGAAAGAGATGAGAGAGTTTGGGCAATCGTGGATCCAGTTGGCTGAAGAGGATTGTAGAAAATAGAAGAAAGTGGAGATATGGTGTTGTTGAAGCCAGCCGTATGCTCCACTCGAAACCCAAGGGAACAATAAGAATATTTTAATAATGAAAAATTCCTTTGACGATGACGGAGGGGTCGTCTGTGTATATCAGTCACATTCTTGTAAGATTTAGACCATCTTATAAAATTACATTTTTTGAATTAGTACTCGCAAAGACGAGGTCACTAACTAAGATATAGTCAATTCCTTCTATTATTCTGATGAAGCAGGTCTTCCTTTTACTACAAGCGAAGTTGTACTGACCACACACCTCATAATTTCAGCTTGGGCTTTAATGACTATTCACTCGTAGATTTAGAATTCTTCGTGACACAGCTTGTGTTGTCCTCTGTTTTGGTTATTTCCCCAAAAGAATTCGGAGAAGTGGTTTTTTTCAACGAATGCAACCTTGAAATTATAAGTTTCCAGACCAGAGATGTTACGAATTTCCAGGAATAATAATTTGAGCACCGAGTCAGATTGAATCACATTATACATTATTTTAAAATAATCCCAGCCTGTTTAGGAAAAAAAGGAAAGTCAAAACAAGATTTGTTTCCGAAAGTTTCTCTGTGTAAACCACCACACCGCCTTCTTCTGCATCAGCAGAATTATTTGAAGTTATACTAATCATCAAAATATATTAGTCGAAAATTTCACATAAATTGAAGTCAGTTCTTATAAAGGGTAGGTCACCTGTCGGTAGACATTTGTACCAATAGAATTATGTAAAAGCAGTCATCACATATTCGTAATGACTAATGTCAAATTGTCATTGTGAGTATTTGTTTCTATGGGTGTGTGTTTATGTGTGTGCGTGAGTGGATGTTATTTGTTATATGGAAAGCACATCACTTCACATGTCATAAACATGATAATACGTTTTTACAAAGGTCATGGAGGTTTTTGTTGTTTTCTTATCTGTCTTGTTTCACTAGAGTTTCCCATATAGGTAGGTGATAAGCTGGTATTTGCTCATAGTCTACTAGGTCGTAAAGCTCCGGTCATCACCGAACAACCCTTTGTTATTAAATTGTTATCCAGTTGTTGCTTTTTTTTTTGACTGAGTTTGAAGTATGTTTTATATAATTAGGATAAAATAGGAAAAAACAAAAGTGCTCTCTGTCCCGTCCCGTCATACAGAAGAATTTTGTTGGTTAATCAATATACGCTAATATATACTGTGATTTTTTTTTATCAGTTATGAGCTGAGTTGAGCTAGGGTAACTATAGTAACTCTTAAGTTCACGCATTCCTTGTGTTGTTGTTGGTGATGGTGGTGGTGGCGTCGTCAATCGGTAATGTGAATTTCAGTATTGTTTATTGACATTTTTTTTTCATAATGTGTATCATACAATATACATCAAAGTACATTTCGAAATTGCCTGCTATTCATCGTTTCCTTAAAAAAATAGAGTTCAATTAACAAGGATACTTTTTCCGATGTATAGTATGAAATTGTAATAGACTGCTACTAAACTTTAGTCTTTAGCACATTTACTCCCATATAGAAATAAATATGCAGTCCAGTGAGGTCCATCCAGTCATCAAGCGTGAGGACAGATTTCCCGCCACGATGATATTGGTTGGTGCTAGTCGCGTTTAATGCATCACAAATTGACAGAAGTTAGAATTCATGGGCCGGCTGACCACTAGATTGGCGGGTCCCGCTGAGTGACTGAATGGTATTACGAGCTAACTTGCCTTGTAAAGAGAAGGCCCTGCGTTCGAACCCCAATGTTGGGTGGGTGAGTACTGCCGATGATTCCCGAAACAAGGCTGATGAAACAGCTGTCTGGCGGTACTCCCCCAGCGGGTTTTCAATGGTTCTCTAACTGCTATGATATCAAAACAAAGTTTACCAAGGAAGGTTTTAATTGTACGTGTGGACACAAGCACACATATATTAGAGGGAGGGCTCATCGATCTCTGCAAGTAATGGCTGACTTCAGAGCATATTCCTAAATGACTTCAGAAGCAAATAGAATCCTCAGAAGCCATTAATTGATGGTGAGAACAAAGGACGAACTAGCTCCTCTATTACCAAACATATTACATAGGAGACATGACATAAAGCTGACGTCTACGCATCTTTTAAAGCCCTATCTATAGAACGTGTTCGGGGAAGGATGCATCCTACAGTTTGTGGAAGCTAGTCAGTCCTACCTAGCTATTAGGAAGTTTAAACCACCTTCATGCGATCAAAGCAACTAGTCGTCATTGCACTAAACCTACCGTCCTTGGTAAACTTTGGTTTGATCGCCACCAGTCAAGGTAGATGTACTATGTTACCTTTTCTATTTGGTTTAGTGATTGATCTGCATTGTTATGTTGACCTTCAATATGTCCTCCTTTCAACTTGACCTAACTTGTCTATTTTATCACCTTTTAACTCCATTAGTTATACATATCCCTTTATTTATTCCTTAGAATATTTCTATAGAAATAAATTCGTCATTTATTATCCAAGGGGAAAATTCTATTTGTTTTAGCACACTACACTCAGATTTGTTGTTTCATTCTCTATTTCAGCTGCTCTGTGCTCTGATTCTATAGAGCCTGTTGTTGAAGTGGCTAATATGCGTCGTCAAATTGTTGTCAGTCCAACTGTTGAATCAGTTCGATTTGCTAGACGTCGTCAATATCCATATTTCTTTCGAACTGTTCCTTCAATGACACATGTAAGGTATGTACGTGTGTGTGTGTGTGGTGACAGTAAGTAATAATTCATCTTGGAATTTTTTGATTGAATGTTTGTTCGTTTGTTTTTCAGGTGAAAAATGAGTCAGTTTCATCCTTAGCCATCTTAGATTCTTTTTTTGTGTATTGTGTTCATGTATTGTCGAATGAGATATCTGTTTTATGTCGATGGTTATAGGGAAAGTTGTTTAATTGAAATAGGAAATTGTATGTTTAATGATGATCTTCCCATCACATACACACACTACTTCATTGAGATAGATTGATGCTCAGGTGAGCTTCGTGTGCTTTTGGAGTAGTGTGTGGGGCCACACTGCCTTCTTCGAAAATGGGCAATGTTAGTCACTGACTGACATAAGATTGTTCGGGTTGGAAAAGAGTTAGCCAGTCCTGATGGTCAAACCAAAACACGGCTTCATCATCAGTCAACGAAATCCACAACAGTTAGTTTAAGTCAGCAGATCAGTCAGCCACGTAGGAAGGTGTAGACTTCCTGACTAACAGCCTGGTTGGTGTCCTTGGAATGGTGATGAGAACCAATGAAGACTGGAGACGATTGGTGGTATGGCTGGCTGGTGCAGACGCACTCCACTTCACTCCTAGTGATCCAACAAAACTATATTGTTCTTCGATATTACTACCATTCTGTTTGCTTCATATATCTGTTTTTGATATCTTCTTTTTACGTGCCTCTCTTGCTTTGTGTGTTCTAAGTGAAGTATGTCGGCTGAAACTGCTGCTGCACATCTGCGCAAAGTCCCACATTGAAACCAGTCAGTCAGTTATTTCTGTATGTTGATGTTACATTATCTGCAAATCCAACAGATTGATTTTTATTACAACCATAAAATACAATAATAAGACGCCTTATTTTTGTATCTGTTGTATTTCTTCATATGTATATACACACATATAGCTTAATCTTGATCCGATTATTTAACTATTGGGGTTGGCGTCGTGTTGCTGTCTTTCGAGAAGATGATCACTTTTTTGATCCGTTAGTGTTTCAATCCAATGGTATTGAACTGATCGCTGATTTTGTAATGAAAGAGAATCAACTGACCTATATCACTGTGTACCAGGTATCCATATGTATAAATATATACGTCATTTTGAATAAAGTTTATTATTATTATTTGCGCTGGTGGCACAACGGTAGAATGATCGCCGACAACCACGCCCCCATGTGGTCCAGAGTTCAATCCCCGGCCACCGGCGCACCCCTTTACCTAGCTTGCTAAGCCAGTAATAAGACTGTTGAAGAAGGAAGATTGGGGGTATGAGGCTGGCTAACAACCCTACCCCGTAAAAATAAATACCACTGCTACAGAAACTTCAAGCCTCCCTACGTTCCACTGGGAATGTAAAGAAAGAAAAAATTATTATTATTATTGTATTTGAATATTTTTTTTTATAATTATCTGTGTGGTGTGGTTCTGTCCTTTTATTTGGATTTCTCTCTCTCTCTCTCTAGCTTAGTTTGATATTCATGAGTGTATATATATATATAGACATACACACCTGTAGGAACCTCTTTTGATATAAAGAGGCACACAGTGTATTGAACTATACTTTCATAGAAGTTTCCCTAGGACAAGTTTGATGAATAATTGTTTATGAAAGCGAAAATATGCATTCAGACATCTAGACATCGTCGATTACATCTAGAAAAGACAAAAGACACAAAATTGAGCAAAGAATATCCTTTTCGATAATGTCCTCCTCCTCTGGCTCTTCATTTATATATATATATATATATATATATAATTTTATTCTAGAATAGTCGTCAGAAACTATAATGGTGTGCTTTTCAAGTACCATCGATTTGTTAAGTAGGATCACAGTGGAATCACAGAGAATTCACGAAAGATGCTGCATACATTATAATAAGAAGCATTGAAATATAATAACAAATTTCTACAACAACAAATTAAGTATCGTTAGAACCTTAACTAAAGGCCAAAGAGGTAAGGACGGTGTCTGAACTAACCAACTTCTTTTTTCAATACACACATAAGTTAGGTTTCCTAATGTGGATCCCAACAGACAGCTTGAATAATATGCAGTACACGAACTCTTAAAGTGAAGTTAAGATTAGTTGGTTGGTATGCTGCAAATGACTTTGAAAGCCTCTTTAACATCAATCTTGTGTTCTGTATCCACAAGATGAGATAGAATAGCTCTGTGAATGGGTTTTGTTTGTCCTTTACTTAACCAACCACTGTGCAGGGGGTGATATTGGGAAATCCAACGAGAAACGTGCCTAATTGTAGGGCTTATGCAACTAACTCGCTCACTGGACAGGAGCAGTCAAATCGGTAGGTACACATAGAAGAGGCGAAATTAGGTAGTTTAGCTTCTACTCCCGAAACCGAACTAGAGGTGAAGACACAGTATGATTCAGAGGCAGCACTGAATACTCCTTTTGCCGCCGTATTCCTTAGGCGTTGTGTTAATATCTGACTGATGTTACCATCACCGAGGAACTGAAGTTGTAAGAGTTAAGGCCTTCCTTTTTCGGAATTGTCCGTTGGTACTTTGGCCTGCCTCCCTTGATTTTCTATTATGTTCTTGTCAATTAATTTTTCTGGATAATCGTTTTCACTCAACAACAAGCTCTTTATTAAGATATTCACTAGCTCAGATTGCTGTTGCTCTGTGGCGGACCAAGCACTTTATCGGATTGTGTTTGTGAGTTTCAAAGGCACAGAGCTGAAATCATGAGTATACTGACAGTCAGTTGATGTAGGTTTTCTATATACACTCCTCCCTTTTCTTAATGTACAATCAGCTTTTCTGGTCATAAAGACGCCGTCTAGGAATGAAATACTAGAATCTTTTTTCCCGATGGTAGGATTTATTGCAGGATGAACACCGTTCAATTAGTCATTAAGGATGTTTTTAGCTTCATCCTTATTTTTCATAATCAAAAATGCATGAGTCATCCACGTAACGACAGTAGAATTCTATTTCATCAATTCCATCTTTTGAAAGGCCCATTCTCTATTCTTAAGGACAATCTAAAATTCCAGAAATTTCCTCTTCTCTGGATCCGATTGAAAAGATAGAGAAACAGTTAGCGGAAACATCGAGAACACTGAAACAGAGCTTTACCTCGAAAATAGTCAGTATACATCACTGAAACACCCTCTGGAACGTTCACACCAAGATTATATGGTTCACCTAAAGTGCACAAAATTGGTGTACCACTTCGGCCAGTATTAGATATGTTAAATTCACCATACTATTCCGTAGCCAAGTGGTTAGTCGAACTCTTACAGCCTCTACATACCGAATTGGTGAAACACAGTGTAAAAGATAGTGCTGGTTGTTTTTGTTGTTACTGTTGGGTAGTTGGTTATCTTCATCATCTCCGTCTTCTGCATATTCACCTGGATAAGTCCTGTCTTTGATGCTTCTTCTGCCAGTTTGTTGCCAGTTTTCGCCTGCCTATAAGTCTTCGAGTTTTTGTAACATTAGACACATATCATCCAGGTGTGAAATCCAGATCTTCTAGAGTCTTCTTATCGGTAGTGGTCCAGCGTATTCCTATCCCAATTTAATGATTCTTTCTCCTGTATGTATTTCTGTTCAATATAGTTCCTTTATTTCTTCCATCTTCTCTACATTAGTGTGTATTGTATGTATGGAGTGTGTGTGTGTGTGTGTGTGTGTGTGTATAGCCCTTCTGTGCAAGGCGTCCAACGTCGAAACTCAATCAGTCAAGACAGTTTTGTATCACTTGTCAACTTGGATAGAACTCATAGAAGTATGTCTTACGACATACTTAGGATTCAATACTCAAATATACGACCAGATAACAGGAACACCAATGGGATTGCCCATGTCAGGATTAATAGCTGAAGCTGTCATACAAAGATTAGAATCAACAGCTTTACCTATAATTGAACCAGAAGTCTGGGTACGCTACACTAATGATACATTTGTAATAATTAGAAAAAAATGACTTGGAATATACCCATAAATTAATAAACAACATACATGAAGACATTGTATTCACATGAGAAAAAGAATTAGATAACAAAATTCCATTTTTAGATGTCTTAATCAGGAGAACTAGTACAGGAACTGTATGCAGATATTGTTTAAAAGAGTTTAAGCGCACCGTAGCACTAATCCTTTGTTGAAGAGAATGGAGGAATATACCTCCTACTAACCGTCTTCAAAAACGCATGGATACCAACACACAATTTCATCAAAAAGCGTTTAAACTCGAGTCATAACACCAATGACAAGCCAAAACTAAAGACCACACGAAAATTCATTCTACTATAAATCAAAAATGTATTTGGCATTGTAAGCATTTTATCACTTTTGTGATCTAAATCGTAGACAACCGTTCTGCTCTTTTGGTGGAGAGCTGATTACCTGTGTGCTTGAATAAATCCAACCATCATACTATTCAATTTATTGTGTAACTCTCGCTTAACAATCGTTTGTCAACATCCAATTCCTCTGAACGCCTTTTGTATTATGTAACTCCACCCAAAACCTACTAGTTCTCATCTGTTTAGTTAAAATAACCATAACCAATTGTATTTTGTTTGAGAAACTTAATGTACACATTCTTTTTAATCCTTCACGTTCCCAGCGGAAAATAGGGCTTCAAGCCGGAGGCTTGAAGTTTCTGTAGCAGTATTTATTTTTACAAGATGGAGTTGTTAGCCTCATGCCCAACCTTTCTTCTTCACCAGCTTTATTTCTGGCTTAGTGAGGTAAAGGAGTGCACCGGCCGGGGATCGGACCCCGGACCATATGCATGGTCGGCGAGCGTCTTAACCGCTATCCCACCGACGCACAAAATGTACACATACATACAAAATAACGTATATGTATGTATATATATTTGATTGTTCGGAGGATTTCATCATGTGCTCACACTGGTTAGTTAGAGAACCATTCGAAAGCCATCCAAATGGGGTTGAGTAGAGCTTTAGTTAAAATGAAAATTGAACGAAGGTCACACCTGATATCTATGGTCGGCCTGCAAAATTTGGGCTACCGATATCCATGCTGAAAATTCCATACTTGTACCAAAAATACAGTGTGGAATCAAGCTGTAAATCAAAAAAAAAGTATAACAACAGTGGTGAAGGAAAATATCGTACAATTAAAAAACAACCAATCAAGAAAAAGAAAAAAATTACTTATTTGGTGTTCAGATAGGTCAGGTCCACTGTAGACATTTTAATGACTGATCAAACTACCTCTTTTGCATGCAGAGTTCAGGTTACAATATGTGAATTGCTGCCATTGCTTCCGCAGGATTTGAAGAAGTTTGAATCGTCTTACTCTTTTAGTTCGTCGGTGGCACAGTGGTTAGGACTCTCGCCGACCATGCACATGGTCCGGGGTTCGAGCCCACCCCGATGCACACCTGATATCTATGGTCGGCCTGCGAGTTTTGGGCTACCGATATCCACGCTGAAAATTCCATACTTATACCAAAAATACATTGTGGAATCAAACTGTAATCAAAAATATAAAATATATAGTAAGATTTCCACATATTCTGTAGATGACTTTGAAGTTACTTCGTGGGTCGGTTTGCTTGGTGCTCCGATTCGATCAAGTGTTCCAGAATAGAGCTTAGCGGGGAGGGGGGAGTGGGTAAGTGTTCGGTGATACGTTTGGATAGCAAACACTGGGTACGGTCGACATACCTCGTAAAGCTTCCGTAAAGCTTGCTTGTTTCTTGATTGCATCATATTTTCTTCCCCCATTCCTTATTTACCAATGTTGTTATAACTTTTGTTCAATTTTACTTTTAATCAAAACTCTACTCAACCTCGTCATCAATTAGATTACCTCACTCAACTTGCTTATTTAAAATTTTACTTTAACTTTATAACCAACTAACTTAATTTGTTGTGTAAAATTTACAATTCTAATCACAAATCTTTGGAAATATTTATTTTGTTGCTAAGAAAATTAACCATATATGGATATTCGCCAAAAAGAGGAGTAACACTACGCTGAACGTCTTTTCTTTTCTTTAGAACGGAAAATTGTATGATAACTGATTTGGAAGATTACACGGAGTAAATGCGTCTGCACTACTGAGGAAGATATTAAGGCATTTTACCAACAAGTACAAATTGACTGATTTCTAGTTTCTTCAGCACCTAGTCGACCGGTCTAAACTTACTTTATGGACTGGTGGTGCCACGTTTTGCTCTGATTATCCTTAATTCTATCCCACCGTAGTCTTAGAACAGATAAGACGATATGTCGAGGAAGGAGCTACAAGAACATCAGAACCACTGGTGATGAAATTCAATAGTACTGATTATTCTGCATTCCACCTCACATACACCACTGTCCACCTTCACTTCAGATAACAAGCCTCCATGAGCTTTTACACGGGGTTGCAAGAGTTCGAGTTCTAATGACAAATCTTTGGAAATATTCATTTTGATGCTAAGACAATTAACTCTCTATCTTTATATATATATATATATATATATATATATATATATATATATAGTCTTTTCTTTTGTAATCGTTCCATTATGGTGGCATTCAAACTCACTCGGATTGGAGCTCAGTAGGTAGGTTGAACGACACTATAGGTTGACCCAATTCAATAAAATAATGTAATTTACAAAATACCTTGCGATGACTGTTATGTCGACTACTTACATTGGTGAGTCAAACTAGTGGATCAGGTAGGAGTAGTGAAATTTACTGTCCGAACAGAAGAATTTAGCTGAGGTTAGAATGCTTGATCCCATCCACGAAGATAAGTAATTCGGAAAAAAATAACTCAGCACCACATCGCACTGCATGCCTTAGAACACAATGGGGTAGATTTGATAGAGTCAAAATTCTAAAAAGTGATTCAGGCAGGTGGAAAGACATATAGAGTGAGGTTGATTGATTACTTACTGAATCCTGAATTCCGATTCATCGACTCTGCACACCGAAGTCAACACAACACAACAAATGCAATAGAAGTGACTCATCATCATCATCGCCACCTAATACCAGAGATATGCAAAACATTATTACCACCAGTCAGTCGGTCAGTCAAATCAGAACAGGAGGATAATAAATAATCTCAAAATGTATTCTATTCCAATTCAATTCACATATACATTAGAACATTCTAGCAACAAGTCATCTATTTATTTATTTTACTATAAAAACACTCGTCTTATTTACCTTCCCTTCTCATGCCATCTGATTGTATTTGACTGATTGATAACACTAATATCATTATTATTATTATTTCCGAATTTACTTTCTTATCATCTTATATTACTGATTGATTTGATTCGATCAAATGTCTAATCATCATCAATTTTTACTCATGCATATAGAGGAAGAAGCAAGAAAGTGAGTGGTGTGTGAGTAGTGTGCCTTGTTACGATTATGAGTATTTTTTTAAAATTCTTATTCCTTTACGTTCCCACTGAGACATAGGGCTTCAGACTAGCAGCTTGAAGTTCCGGTAGAGGCGGTGTGGGTTGTTGCTAGCCTCTTGCCTCCAACCTTCTATCTTTAGGAAAGGAGTGCGTCGGTGACCATCCGGGGATCGAACCCGAACCACGTGGGGGCGTGGTTGGCGGGGAGCATTCTACCTACCGTTGTGCCACCGGCGCACAATTGTTATTTTTATGTGACATATGCATAATATATGTATATATGTTTCTGTTTTTTTAATTTTCAGGGTTTAAAACTCATGAATGATCGTAGAAGTCGTATATTTATGATCGAATATTTCGCTAAAGGTACTGCTCTCATTCTATGTGCAGCATATCACTTAGGAATGCATTTTGATTCAGGCTATGTGTGGTTTTTAAATCCATGGCTTTCTGGGAATTGGTGGCAATCAGTAGACATACATCCACCAGAGTGTACACGTGATGAAATGCTTAATATGACTGGTTGGACATTTACTATCGGTCATCAATTAATTATGGAACCATTAATGCATAAACAAAATACACAACGACAAATTCATCGACGTTCTTCTTCGTCAAGGGAATATAGTCGAAAATTTAAACATCCATTATACAATGGAGGACATGATGTTGATGCTGATCATAATGATGACGATGATCAGGATTATCATTCATCGTCAAATTCTGCTGAATCACAACGTTCAGTATTTAGTACAAAAAGTGAAAATATTGATTATATTGATTCGTCGCATGATTATGCAATACATACATATGAATCAGTGATTGTATTAGCTACAGCCCTTGTACATTTATTACATCAAAATCCAAGTTGTATCTCCGTTTTTGATACATCCACATCAATAGCTGAAACATATAAAGAATTAATTGCTGAAACAGATTTTCACTATACAATTTCATCAAAATTTATCATCTTGGATAATTCAACATCCTCGTCATCCTCATCCTCAACAACATATACTCAACCGATGATTTCACTAGACACAGATTTTCGTTATGTTCACAAGAAAAAGGATAATAATAATAATAACAATAATAATAATGGTATCAAATCAGCTCAATTAAGATTTAATCCGTTTAATGAACGTATTGCCGATTATTGGTTATTAAGACAATATCAAGTCAATCAGAGTATACCTATTGTGTTGTGGAGTTTACAATCAGACTTATTAAACAATGGTGAAACTGAGACTGACCCTAACGGTGATGGTGATGTTGATGCTGCATTCATGAGATCTTTACTCCTGGATACATCCGATTTATCTGCATTTGTAACTTCTGAACATTTTAGTCAGCTAATGGGTGAACGTTGGTTAAATGATGTCAGTTGGAGTAGTAGTAGGAATAATGGCAATAATGGACGACCTCCACATGATGGATCAGAAAATCAAGATGATTGTACATTTGGAGTGATTAGTCGACTATTTGGTGTGAATTGTACAGGTTCTACAGTGATTGTAACAATATCAATAGTTATTACTGTTGTTATATTATGTTTTATTCTGTTTATTGTGTATTATCGACGTAAATTAAAGCAAACACAACTACGAATTCGTCAACCGTATGAAAATTTGTGTAATGAATTAAAGGATATTGATGTAGGTTATATTCATTGTTATTGTGCTATTATGTGCACAGATTGTTGATTTTTGATGGGGATTTTTACGTTTCATGCTTATGGACGCAGAAAGTTCGTTTCACGTAGGCCAGTTTGCGCCATCTCTCTTTAGTTTAGAGTAGATGTGATATCCGACTGATTGGCTATTGAAAGTGACAGATATGTAAGGCCTTGCTGGCTAACTGTCTTTCATCATGCGTCTCTACATTCATTCTCTCTCCCGTGTTAAGTGGTGGTATAATAGGGTGATCAATATTTAGGTTAAGTGACGGTCGAGTGCCAAGTGAGGAGGAGGGGAAACCAATCAATGAGGCTGTAGAACTAGCCATCGCCTTCCTAGACCATAGGCAATGTTACCTGACTGACATAGGATGGATGAGCTTGGAAAACAGTTATCCAGTAGTGGTCAAACCAAAACATGGCCTCATCATCAATCAGTGAAATCCACAACAGTTAGTTTAAGCCAGCCAGTCTGTAAACTTCCTGACTAACAGTTTGGTTGATGTCCTCGGAATGGTGGTGAGAACCAATGGAGACTGTAGACGATTGGTGATATGGCTGGCTGAAAGGGATCGTTCTCTGTGATGGCTGGCTGGTGCAGATGCACTTCACTCCACTCCTTATGACTTATAATATCCAATAAAACTGTGTTGAGAGCTCTCTGCAAGCCAAAATTGTAGACATTAATTTACGTCAATGTTCACGTCACGAATCAAGGTCATGAGAAAGACAACAGCAAACCTTAACCTCGAGAAAACCGCCAGCCAATCACAGCGGCGTTAAAGTGTGTAAATATGATTCACAGATATATTACTTGATTTTCCGAGAAACGGCCGCAAAAAGATAACAGAATAACCTTCAGCAAGAAAACAACCAATCAGAGAAGGTTTCTTCTCCGCTAACAGTAACGCTAGTAATAATAATTTTCTCAATAAACGATCTGTTGCCTGGCCCTTGTCTTCTGTCGTTACAAAACTGTATTGTTCTTTGATATTACTCTTCTTTTTGCCTCATATTTCTGTTTACTGCCTGTGTTTTGCATTTCTTTTTACTTTCTTCTCTTGCTTTGTATGTGCTAAGTGAAGTGTGGTGGCTCGAAATGCTGTTGCATATCGGTGCAAAGTTCTACTTTGAATCCAGTCAATCAATTTCTCTTTGAATTGGAACTTCGAAGTTACAAATAACTCTGTAAAGTTGTAATCTATTTACGTGAGATGATGCGTTATTATTGTATTGTGTTTCAGGTTGCAGGCAATTTTAGGCGTATAGACATACATTTTTTGTAAAAGATTTGGAATGAGGAGATTACAGGCAGCTTATTTTAACAATCCGAAATTATTATGTTGATGGGAGAGTCAGTGATACATTCCGGTCACCCAGAAAACAATCACTAGCACACCGAGGGTGTGACTACAGAGAATGCTGGAGAATTTTTAGGAGGCTGCCTGGTATTCCAGTGAGAATCGTCATTTAATAATAGACACATTGATATAGACTAAATAAAAAAAAAGTGTGTCGGTGGCACAGTGGTTGGGATCCTCGCCTACCATGCACATGGTCCTGGGTTCGAGCCCACACCGACACACACCCGATATCTATGGTCGGCCTTCGAATTTTGGGCTACCGATATCCACGCTGAAAATTCCATACTTGTACCAAAAATGCGGTGTGGAATCAAGCTGTAAATCAAAAATAAAAATAAAAAAATAAATATACCAGTCTATAAGATGGAAATCTCACATACACACACATACACACGAAGGGTGGAACTTCAGGTCAAGGAAACAATCAGTTCCAACACGAATAAAAGTAGTAGCCTAGAGAATGTGAACACACGACGTTGTAGGTCACACCTCAAATTGAAGTGTATGCGCTGAAGATGTTGTCTAGAAGGAGGAGGGCAATAATGAAAGCTTCGCAAACAAACCAGCCACTCAACTACATCAAAAAGAAGGTGGTTTCGTTTTTTTTTGACTAGATTCAGTTAATTTCAAGCTCCTCTATGTTTGCTAACACGAAAAACTGTTTTTAAATGTTACTGAAAATGATTTAATTTGTTTTTGCTTATTTGGTTTTTTTCAATTACCAACAAGATTCCGTCTACCGACATCGTTTTAAATCGTCGTGTTGGTCAAGGTGCATTCGGTATGGTATACGGTGGTGAAGCAAAGCGTAATGGTCGTTGGGAAGCTGTTGCTGTGAAAGTTATTGGGAATAAAGCGACATACGAGGGGAAAACAGATTTCCTGTCAGAGGCTAAATTAATGCGAAGTTTAGACCACCGAAATATTGTCCATTTAATTGGTATTTGTTTATATCCAAAAGAAAATCATTTATATTTAATTATGGAGTTTATGCTAAATGGTGATCTCAAGACGTATTTATTATCACGTCGTGTTCTAGCTCAACAGTAAGTCAAACTGTCGTTTATAATTCCATATTAGTCATTGTGTCGCAATTATTTTTTTGAATTTAATCATGATCATTTCTACAAAATTCAAGAATATACTTTATCCTAGAAAGTGTAGTAATGGTTGGAGATAATTTCGTGATATGACTAACTGACTGTCTGGTTTCAACGTAGAACCTCGCACCAATGTGCAGCAGCAGTTCCAGTCTCCACACTCCCTCCGTGGAACGTACAAATCTAGAGAAGAGAGTAAAAAGAGATTCAAAACAGAAATATGTGGTGAAAAGAATAGTAGTAATATGGAAGAACCATATAGTTTTATTGAATATTATAAGTCGCAAGGAGTGGATGCATCTGCACCAGCGCCAGCCATCACCGAGAACGATCACTTTGAGCCAGCCATATCACGAATTGTCTCCAGCCTTCAAGGCTTATCACCATCTCGAGGACCCCACGTGACTGGCTGGCCGGTCAGCTTAAACTAAGTGTTGTGGATTTCATTGACTGATGATGATGAAGCCATGTTTTGGTTTGACCGCCATCACCACTGGCTAACTCTTTTCCAACCTGAACCATCCTATGTCAGTCAGTGGCTAATATTGCCCATTGTCGGTCGAGTAAGGTGATGGCTAGTCCCAACCATCTCTCAATCAATGTAACTGCTTCACAGCCTCAGCGATTGATTTCTCTTCCCACTTACCTACCACTCGACCACCAGTATTGTTTATCTTACCATAGATTGGTGATATGACTGTCTTCAAGTAATCTTTTTCAGTGGCTGGTACAGATACATTCACTCTGTGATTTATCATATCTAATAGAAGTCTATTATTCTTCTATATTTATAATATTCTTTTTCCCTCACACTTAATATATCTGATGAAAAAGCTTGAGTACTGTAGTAGTATTTACTTGCATATTAGTTTGTTTATGAGATATCACACACTCAGTCAGTGAAACAGTAGTATTATTGATTACTGAATGAAGATGCCTTTCGAACACAATTATTTTATTGTTCATAATCATTTCATCAATGGTAAACACATGACTTCGAAACTTGAGTTCTATAGTTTTCTTTATTGCTTCCCTATTTGTCATCGTCCAGATATCTGGGTGGATAGGTGTTGAATCGTTCCTATTACACGTATCCCCCGTCTCAGTTGGTTCAATAAACACGTATTATATTAATTATATACGAAACGGATAAAGATATTAAAGCCAGCCAGTCGGAATCAAAAAGACTAGATACGCCTTCATCAACCTGAAACCAGTTTGGAAATCTTCTGTTCTGTACTTCACCTTACCATAAACAACAAAAGTCGGATTCTATTTAACACAAATGTGAATTCAGTCTGTCGGAAACTTGATATGTCATGAAAGGGATTTCCAACACGCTAATACAGACTTTTATCAATAGCTGCCACCTTCGCACCTTACTGAAGATCAAATGACCAGTCAGAAAGAATTAGGAACAAGAAACTCTGTTGTGGAACATACCAACCAACCGAGTAAGAGCCGATTGATTGCTCAACAAATATGTAGGAGAAATGGATTGGAGATGGATCGATAAGGTACACATTGGGGAGGCAGACCATCGAATGACATCGCGCCTAGTGCAAGCCGTCATCCATCACTCGAGTGGAAGGTGAATGGAAAGCGACGGACGAGTGGGTGTCTCAACGTATTCTCGATCCATGTACATTTTCTACATATTTGTTCAGCAACCGACTCTTGCTCGATTGGTTTGTTCCACTGAAGAGTTTTTTGTTGCTAATTCTTTCTGACTGGCCATTTTATCTTCATTATAGAGCGAAGGTGGGAGCTGTTTATAATAGTCTATATTAGGGTGTTGAAAATCCTTTTCGTGACGCACACACAGTGCAAGTTCCTTACCTATATGGAAGAACTGACTGACTGAATTCATATGTGTGTTGAGAATCCAACTCTTGTGCTTAATACTGAGAAGTGCAGAACATTTGCAAACTGGTTTCAGATTGAGGAAGGGGTATCTTTGCCTTTTCGATTCCGACTAACTGACTTTGACATCTTCATTCGTGCCATCTGCCCGTAGTTGAAACGACACTGGCTGCGCCTAGCTAAGTGAAGGAGGTTACTTCATTCAAATCTCTCCCGTTGATGGTGATTGATACTAGTTGTTGTTTGTTGATTGATTATCTTCCTTACCTCCGTCTACTCTATGTTTACCTGTATGGAGTCCTATCTTCTCTGACTGTGCTTCTTCTACCAGTTTTCGTCTGCCTCTAAGTCTTTGAATTTGTTTGTGTGTAGCCATAATAAATGCTCTGAAGATTCATATCCACATAATCAGATATGCAAGGCCTTTTAACTTTATTTACAATGTACATTTCATCACAAAGCAATTTGAGTCTGGAGATCATTGATGAACGCAGTTGTTTCCTACAATCCTTCCTGGTTTTCAATTTTCTCTAATTTAAATACTGTCCGGTTCACAATGAGATCTAACTGCTGAAGCACTATTGATATGACATTCTTCAAAACTGGTGGAATTTCTTCTCCTTTTTATTAAATACCGGCATCATATAAATCATAACTGCATTCTACTGGATGAGAAGGTACTGGTGGTGGTGCTCGTCGAAGGGTCGATAAGATATTTTGAAAGTAGATTCAGCAAGATATTTGTATTTGTTTAAAGCAGGATGAAATCACCGCGTTTCTTCCGGAAAAAACTTATCCTAACACCGTGTGCGATATGGTCACAACTTTTGTTCGTTAAAGTATTCAAGTATATTTATTCCTTTCTTTTTGGAATTTGTCAATTTAATTAGAGTCAAGTATCGGTTTGTAGGGTCCTTTTTGTTTGTTTGATTGATTGGTTGATTGGAGGATTTCATCATGAGCACTGACATCGGTTGGTTAGTTAGAGAAGTATTGGAAAGCCAATCACAGGGAGAGTACTGCCATAGAGCCAGCTGTTCCCTCCGTCATATTGCTTGGGCTGAACTGGTTCTTCAGTAGTACGCACCCACTCAACCCAGGACCACCTTCTGGTTACAAGGTGAGCTCGTTGATGATATCCTCCAAACAGTCATATAAAAAACCCTACAAACCAATACTTGCTAAATTGACGTGATGCTCACTAGTGAGACTGGTCCTGTTCAGGCAGGTTTCAGTGGTAAGTAGTGACTAATAGAGTATAACAGGGTGAAGGTGTGTGAGGACAGTTACTCATCGAAGAAGACATTGCTAAGTGGTAGCGCTATGTCGTGCTTGAATTGATAGAAGTTGGAATTCATGGACTGGCTGGCTGGCCATTGGATCGGGTCCCAGTGACTGAGTGGCTGCTTCATGGTCTTCGAGCTAGCTCGCTCGCCTTGCGACAAGTCGGCGGTCCTGGGTTCGAACCTAGGCAATGAAGTGGGTGGGTGCGTACTTCTGAAGACCCAATCCCAAACTAGGACAACAGAAACAGCTGTCTAGTACCCCCAGGTTTTACTATTAGAGTCTTTTTTTCAAATAAATCTAGATAGTGTTATTAGAAGACGAAATTCATCTAAAAAAGATATGATACGTAAACGCTCAATACCCTTGTAGAATAATCTGATCACACATGTTTAACTTAGCGAATTAATTCATAGAAAAAGGGTGGGCAAATGGTTTGCCCATGGTTTCAAAGACAATTGAACTGTGAAACTCCTGAGAAACAGTCGACAGACTACCAGCTTCGTCTATAGCAAAACACCTGATTTTGATATGATTCATTAGACGGATATCGTAACAGCTTTCAAGGTTATCTTTAAGAAAATGAAAAGAAACTGTCAACGGCGGATAATGAAATGCGCTGAGATGATAGCTATCCGTAAAATTAAGCCCCCACCCCGTGCACCTACCTCCTTCCCCATCGTCTCTGCATGTTTATACAAACAATTATTACCCATAAGCCAGCCCCCTACTCTGCTGCTAATCATCATCCGACTATATCACCAAAAGTAGGCTTTATTATTGTCCTTGTTATTAATATTATGATTACCATTATTTATTCCTTTACGTTCCCAGTGTGAAAAATAGGGCACCTTCAAGGTGGAGCTCTGAATTTTCGGTAGCAGTGCTTTTTATTTTTACGGGATGGGTTTGTTGCTAGCCTCATGCCTCCTCTCCCAACCTTCTCTCTTTACCAGTCATACTACTAGCTTGGCGAGCGAGGTAAAACTGTGCGTCAGTGGCCGGCCGGAGATCAAACCCCAAACCACATGGGGGCATGGTTGGCGGAAAGCATCCCACCGTTGTGCCACCAGCGCTTTGTTATTATTGTATTGACGTTGTTTTTAAGTGATCTTTCATTTTTCATGTAAATTGAGTTGACACATGAATATTGTGATCAGATTGTTTAAAATTTACTGCACGAAAACACGTCACATACCTTGAAATAAACTTCGTCTTGTAAAACAACGCCATCCACCAGTAATCTAGGCATTGTCTGTTATCAGTATGAGTAGTTGAGCCGATTTTTGTTTTATTTCCTCTGTGATGATTATGATGACTAGTCAGTCTGTGAGAGCTTTCTCCTAATCATCGAAAGCTCAGAAAAGTATTTGCTTGATATCTGAATGCTTACGCCTGCAAATAATTTTCTATTTATAAAATCACACATAGTATGTTTGTTATACAGTAATATTTACTAATGACCACGTTTCGAGTACAATTTATGATTGCTACTACTAATCATAATCATATCAAGGCACTACTCACACAACTTTCTAACTTCGTTTATATAATTCCATTATTTTTCATCGCTTGACTTGATTGGTTGTAGTAGTATTTTCCATATTTCCGGTATGAGTGATGATGAGTCATTCCTATTGCACGTGTTGTGTGTATACTCGATGAACAAATATTCCCTAATCAGTCTCTGCCTCTGTCTCCATCTACGCATATATTACTTCTTAGAATTTCAACTCTCTCTCTCACACACCCTATTGTGTGTGGTTGTGTGTTAATGTATGCAGTGCAATGTAGTGCTGAGTTATCTTTTCTAAATTACTTATCTTCGTGGGTGGGCTAATCATTCTAACCTTAGCTAAATTCTTATGTTGTGACGGGCAATCTTACTAGTCTTGCTTGATCTACTACTTTAACTCACCTATGTTAGGTAGTTGACCTAACTCACAGTCATCGCAAGGTATTTTGTAAATTATATTATTTTCTTTAATTGGGTCAAAACCTACAGGGTCCTTCAACCTACCTACTGGGCTTCACATGTGTAAATGAGTTTATAGGTTTGAATCCCACCAACCTAATTCCTGCTTTGATAAGACGCCTACGTAGGGACGGGCTCAGATGTTCCCTCTTTTTTGATCTTCCTGATGAATTTTATAGGATAGTTATTTAACACCAATCAACCATTCTTCTTCTCCTATCTGTTTCATTTCATCATTTAAGTTTTTTTCTTGTACCACTTAGGGCTGTTGCTTGGTTTGTTAGACACTTAACTCTGAGCAATAATTTGTGCTCGAAACGTGTGGTCGTCATCAGTAAATATTTCCTGTATAACAAACACTGTGAAAGACAACTTTATCAAAGTAAATGTTTACCTACAAATAGTATTTATAGATACTCTTTGATTATTTTTGCGAATCGATCACGGATTGATATCAGTTAGAGAACCATTAAAAACCAGCCACATTGAGTACTGGACAGCTGTTTCATCCTAGTTCAGGAATCATCGACAGTACGCACCCACTGCCAGGACTCGAAGGTAGAGCCCCATGGTTACAAGGCAAGCTAACTCGTATACCATTCAGCCACTCACCGGGACCCTATTGAATGGTCATTGTATGAATTCTGACTTTTACAAATTCGTGGTTTGGCGCGACTAGCACCAACCAATGTCATCGCGGTGGGAAATCCACTGGATAGACCTCATTGGTCCCGGCTTCTCACTAGATCTCCATGAAACTCCTTTCTGTAGCAAGTCACTAGCGAGCATCAGATTAATTTTCAAGAGTTGGTTTGTGAGGATTAGATTTGTTTCTACGAGTTGATGATGGATTGATATAAATTAGAGAACCACTGAAAGACGAGGAATACTGGACAGCTGTTTCACCAGTCTAGTTTGGGAACCATCGGCAGTACGCACCCACTTTTGGGGGGTCGAACCCAGTACTGGATAGACTTCACTGGTCAGTGGTTTTCTAACTGATCCTTACAAAGGAACTATAGAAAACTCTTTGTTCATATTTAGTTTTTACAAATCATTAGAATGAAGCGGGGTTTGTTTCTTTTGTTTTTGTTTCAAGAATATGCATTATTGTTCCCTCTCTCTATGTGTGTGTCTGTCTTATTTGTTTTTTCTTAGAATGCCAGAGCATGAAGGTATTTGTCCAGCTACACTGACAGGTATGGCAATTGATATTGCAGAGGGTTTAGCTTATTTGCATCGGAAAAATCTAATCCATCGGATATCGCCTGTCGGAATTGTCTTGTCGGTTCAGACGGTGTTGTAAAAATTGGCGATTTTGGTTTAACACGTGAAATGAACAGCAGCGAAAGCGAGGGTTATTATCGTTTCACACGAAATTGTAAGTGAGAGACAAGTGTTCAGATAATGTCCTGTTTATTGATTTTATTCCTACACATTCCCTTCCCAGTGTGGAACGAACATGAGGCATCTTCAAGCTAGAGAGGCGTAAAGTTTCGGTAGCAGTGGTTCGTTTTATTTTCTTTACGGGATAGGGTTGCTGCTAGCTTCATGCCTCCCACCCTCAACCTTCCCTCTTTACCAGTCCTACTACTACTACTAGCTTAGCGAGCGAGGTAAAGGAGTTTTGAGGATCGAACTCCGGACCGCATGGGGACGTGGTTGGCATTGAGCATTCTACCTACTGCTGTACCGCCGATGCACAAGTTTTCAGATAATGTTCTATTTATTTTGTTTGTTTGTTTTTCTAAGCTAGTGTTTAGGACAACAACACCGAAATGAAGAAAAGATTTTACACTGTGTGACCTGTGTTCCAGCGTTTTTGTGTGTATCTGTAATAGACAGTTATGAGTTTGAATTTCTTCATTACCTTTCTGGATATACACATTTCCTCATTTATGTTATTGTTATTTTGAAGAAGCTATTAACTAATCAGCGGAAGTAATTTCGTACTATGGAGTATAGTTATTAGATGGCTGGAGGCAATAAGAAAGAAAGCCTTGCCTTGCTGGACCTAGGTGTCGTGCTAGTTGGCATTCACTAGTTAGTCAGTCAGTCAGCAAGGCGTGTATCTGCAACCACAATGAAGGAATAATTCATGTTCCGCCTCCTGAGATTCGAACCCGCGCGTCAACACCCAGTGAGTCCTGCAGTCAGTCAGATACGTTGCCAACGCTGAGCTACTCGGGCTGGCTCACGACTGACCTCCTGTAGCCACTGACTGTATTGGGCACTTTTGATTGGAGACTAGTCAGTAACCAGTGTGATGTGTCTAGCTAGTCCTTTGTTTGGTGCGGACTGAATTCTATCAATCAGACAAGTGTGCAACGTGGCAACCATCAAATCAATGTGCACCGCGATGGCGAGCTACCTAGCCTGTTGTTGGCTAGGTGGTGGCGACGTCTCTGACTGTATGTGGCACTGGGTGATGTGGGTTCGAATCTCAGAAGGAGGAATATGAGTTGTCCCTTCAATGTGGTTGCAGATACGTCTTGCTGACTAGTGACTTCTAACTAGCACGAAACCTAGGTCGATCAAGGCTTCCTGTGGCTGACTGCCTCCAACCAACTAATATCATGAAATCAATGTCCACCGTGATGGCGAGCCACTACCTAGTGACATGGTGGCCACATTGCAAACCTGAGTGGCTGATAGAATTCAGTCTGCAACAAACAAAGGATTAGCTTGACATATCACGCTAATTATTGACTAGTGTCCAACCAAAGTATAGAGTAGTATGTTCGTACTTCTCGACTGTAGAGTGACCTGCATCATGTGCCAGGCTGTGGGGGGGGGGTATCAGAGAGAGCTTTTCAGTACCCCCAGTCCAAGCACCATCCACCCATCCCTGGTTTTCAGTGGTCTGTTAAGTGAGGAATTTGAAGTGAAATCGGGAAGAAATCTCTTTCATTCAACTAGCAGTTAAATATGTAAGGAGGCTCCTTTCAAAAACCAACACAAAGCATACATGATCGATTGAAGGTACAAACTTCATAGCAGATATGAATAAGTGAAAATATATTATGTGAACATAGTGATGATGAAGATAACTAACCAACAACAACAACGAGAACAACAAGCACCAATCCTTATTAACCAAGGCAATGTGAAGGAGGAAGTCACCACAGCATAGTTTAAACTAGAGATGTCAACATGAATAAGAATATTTCAAAGCCAGGATCGCCGAAGCGAAGCGTAGAACTTTGCACCGATGTGCAGCAGCACTTCGAGTCGCCACACTCCATGTAACACACGAAGCAAGAGAAGAAATTGAAAAGAGATTCAAAACAGAGGTATGAAGTAAACAGAATAGTAGTAATATGGAAGAAAAATATAGTTTTATTGAATATTATAAGTCACATGGAGTGGATGCATCTGCGCCATCTATTGAGATTGATTTTGAGTCATATCACCAATTGTCTCCAGCATTCAGTGGTTTTTACCATCTCGATGACACCAAGCAGGAAGTCTAGGCCTTCCTACGTGACTGACTGGCTGGTCAGCTTAAACTAACTGTTGTGCATTTTATGGACTTATGAACTTGAGTTTTGGTTTGATCACCACTGGCTCTCTCTTTACCAACCTGATTCAACCTGTGTCAGCCAGTGGCTAACATTGCCCATTGTCTAGGAAGGCGATGGCTAGGCATGCATGCGTAACAGATGTCCTAACCATCTCAATCGATTGATTTATCCTCTTTCGTCACCTAGGACTCGACTGACATCTAACCTCAGTATTACTCAGCCTATTATACCATCAATTAACACAGGAGATTGATTGTAGACACCTATGATCAAAGGCAGCTAGCTAACTGGCATTTTCACGTCTTCCACTTTCAATGGCCATGTCTCACTCAGCCAGCCAGTCATAAAGAAGGACAGAGCGAAGTGACTGCTGAGCAATACACATACCCTTTGGTCGATAGCCAGCCAGTCAGTCGGATATCACGTTTAGTAAACCATAGACAGAGACTTCATAAACTAGCATATGCGCAACGAGCCTTCTGTATCCGTACTCAGCTAAGATTTTGTCAGCGATCAATCCGGTGGCGCTGGCTGGACTGCCGTAACTTCCCCTTAAACAAGTGAAGTGGTCAACACGCGCTTCACCAACCATTCCACTTCCTATTTCTAAGCTAGGGGTAGCCAATGTAGTCCAGTCCAATCCTGTAGCCTCATCCTCTTAGAAAAGAGGATTGCAGAGAATAGGATTATAAATGGAGATGTGCCTGCTATTTAAGTTGTGTTTCCCACTCAGAAGCCAAGGAAGAAATCGTAATAAACAAAATATGTGTATAGTACAATATCATTGCAAAATCAAGAAAAAAATGTGATGATATCGCCTATACAGTCACACTTAGATGTTGTTTTTCAGGGATTCAAAAAAAAATAAATGAAATAAAAATAACTCAATAATCGACAACACAATAGAAGAGTGTAGGGGTTTAAAATTTGACAACGCGTAAATTGGTTAATCGGCGATAGAAAAGTCGGTTTGGTTGTTGAGGCTCAGCTGGACGACAGAAAAAGCAACCATTCCTACGGGAATATACATACATATATGTAGGAGTAGAGACTATAATAATAAGCAACAACAGAATCCAAGTACAGTAGGGTGTGTCTAATGATCGTGGTTAAAATGATAAAGTGTCTTCTATGCTTCACATGACTACATGTAGATAGTTTTGAATTACTAGATAAATAAACCACTTCCTGAGTTTTAACTTACATTGAAACACATACACACATAGAAGAGGGACTCCGGAAGTAAGGACTGGCTTAAGAAGTAATTAGAATCCTCAGAAGCCATTAATTGATGGTGAGAACAAACGACGAAATAGCTCCGCTATTACCAAACATATTACACAGGAGACAGAAAATAAAATTGACGTATCTATAGAACGTGTTCGGGGAAGGACGCATCCTATATTTTGTAGAAGCTAGTCCTACCTAGCTATTAGGAAGTTTAAACCACCTTCATGCGATCAAAGCAACTAGTCGTCATTGCACTAAACCTACCGTCCTTGGTAAACTTTGGTTTGATCGCCACCAGTCAAGGTAGATGTACTATGTAACCTTTTCTATTTGGTTTAGTGATTGATCTGCATTGTTATATTGACCTTCAATATATCCTCCTTTCAACTTGACCTAACTTGTCTATTTTATCACCTCTTAACTCTTTATCAATTTCATATGTGTATGAACTCCTGTGAAAAGTCCGTGTGTGTGTGTGAGTGATGGATCAGATTGTTCGCAATAAGTGTTGCGCTCAAATACATACACAATACACGATTCAGACAAAACTGTGTCTTCTTATTGCTTCGTGTGGCTAACTAACTAAATTCATAAAAGGAACGAATTGTTTTAATAATATGATGTGATAGAGACTGATTCAACCGTTTGACTGTACCCTGTTTATCAGGTAGTCTGTGTTCTAAAAATCTAATTAAGACGATAGTATTTTTGTGTCTAAAAACATCTGTATTTTTTGTTGACCAAATTAAACACTTGAAGCATCACTAACAACCGCCAGTTCAGTGTGTGATCACGCAAAAGTGACCTTGAAACACTCACTGAGCAACTTAGTTAAGTTTAGGGTTAGGGTCAGGATTAAGGTTAAGGTTACGATTAGAGATGGAATGAGAGTTAATGTCATTTATTTTAATTTGTTACACTATCCACATTTTACTAGTAACTAGTTTTCGATCCTCTTAGTGTAAACCATAGTAATTCAAACGAAGGTTTTTGGAGAAGAATGCACAACAGGATAAGAGAGATAAACGATTCACAAAAAACATTTGATCTTCAGTAACCTCAGTGAATACATGTAGAGAAACCAGTCTAACTTAGCAACTGATTCCTCATTATAACTGTGACGTATTTTTAAAAGTTCCCTGTTTAATGTGTTTTTAATGCATTTTCTTGTAAATACAAGTCAGTTTTGTGCAAAAATTTCTCATTTTTATGATTGGTCGACTAAAGGTCATCGTGCGTTCTCATCCCTTGGAATGCTATTGTTGAACTTTGCTCACAAAAATCCTTCCTTCACGTGACTGGTGCGTTTGAGGTCATTTGCTGATTCGGTAGTTGGTGGGTGGGTGTTTAAAGTTTAACTTAGTCTTTGTGTTATGTTATCTTATTTTAGGTGAACTGCCTATCCGTTGGATGTCACCTGAAGCTGTTCAATTCGGTGTATTCAGTATACTTTCTGATATATGGTCCTATGGGATTGTTTTATACGAGATAATCACTTTCGGTGTATTTCCTTACGACGGGTTAGGCGATGTTGAAGTTGTCGAGCGTGTAAAACGTAAAGATTTTAGTATTATTGAGTTTTTGCCAGTAGCAGCAAGAGATACTATTATGTAAGTTTGTTATTTTTCTTTATTTGGATGGTGTTATTTTCGTGTGTGTGTGTGTGTGTATGGTTTTGCCATGGGGAATCCATTAGGACCTTTATTAGCGAATGTTTACATGTCTTATGTTGTAAACTTGTCCCTTGATTCAATTTCTAAATTCAACTTCGATAGGAGATATGTAGACATGATATCATTTTGGTATGTGATGGTCAGGAAGATGCCAGTCATCTACTAGATAGACTTAACTCCGTACCACAGAATCATATAAGTCTAACATGCGAGGAAGGTAGTCACAATCAGACTGAATTTTTAGACATAATTCTGAGTCGAAGAGATGATGGTTCTATAAGACGATCAATTTACAGAAAGCCTACTTGGACGGGGCAATACCTTAATTGTCATAGCTTCTATCCATTACAGTATACAGTATACGAGAGAACCAGACAGACTTTAGACCTGGAAGAGGTTCTGGAACACAGATGGCATACTTACCGTCGGCGTCCAACAATCGTCATGTTGCTTGACTTGAAGGTGGCATTCTATTCCGTCAACTGAGATGTACTTTGGCGATGCTTGGCTGTAAGCGTAGTGCCGAGAAAATACATTGCGCTGATCAAGGCACTCACTCCGCTGGAACTCATGAATGCAACCAGGTAAGAGCTTACGGCGAGTTGTCGTCTGAAGTAGTGACAACTAGTGGTGTCCGACAGGGATGCCCACTCTCCTCATTTCCATTCAATTCCATCATAGATATCATGCTAATGGACTTAACTCTAACTGACTTCAGCTAGTTAGGGATTGACTTGCTACCACCAGGGAATAATTTCGTTGACTTAGAATATGCAAATGATGTAGTCTTTCTAGGTGGGGAAGACGCTGACAAAATACAGACACGCTCTTCTGAACACCTTGAGCTGCAATCTACGAATGTTTGGCATGCGATTCGCTCCCACCAAATGTAAGATGATGTTATAGGACTGGACTACACCGACTCCTAGCTTAGAAATAGGGAGTGAAGCGGTAGAGCATGTTGACAGCTTCACTGATCTGGGAAATTCCATCAACCCCAACGGGTTGATCTCTGACGAAATCTCAGCACGGATACAGACGACTAGTTTCTCATATGTGAGTTCACGCCGTCTCTAGCTCAGCAGACGTGATCCCGACCGAAAGCTGCTACCTTGACGTGGTGGTCGGGCTTGAACACCGCAATGACATAATCAAGCTATTTTTTTTCCTTCACGTTCCCCAGTGGAACATAGGGCTTCAAGATAGTGGCTTGAAGTTTCTGTAGCAGTGTTTATTTCACAGGATGGGGTTGCTAACCTCATGCCCAACCTTTCTTCTTTACCAGCATTATTTATGTCTCAGCGAGGTAAAGGAGTGCGTCGGTCGGGGATCGAACCCCGGACCATGTGCATGGTCGGCTAGCGTCCTAACCGCTATACCACCGACGCACACAATCAAGCTATACTGGCTGAGATTTATGTCCCTTGAGGTCCTACCATGCCAGGCAGGTTGTTTGGATAGCGGTTAAACAAAAAGCAGCTACCCATCCAACACTATGATACATACAAACTTACAAAATTTCATGCCGGATCGGTCGGCGCCCGGATTAACAACGACCGCGCTTCCTGCTGCCGTGTCACAGGGCAGGAGTGATAAGTATGCTACTGAGGCACACCAAACAAACGAACAAAAAACAGGCCGCGTGTGACCGGCCTCAAGCAGTTGTCCCCTGGGCTCTGCGGTCACGCAACCAACTTCCACGGTGTGGGCAGCCGGGAAGTAACAATCGCCCTCACAATCCGAAATGCACACGAAACCTCTCTAATCCTCACTCATCTTTGTCTTCATCTTCATCTCTATCATCTTGCCTTCCTTCCACTGATGCAACTCCTCGACTTGATAGCTCTCCACTCTGCGTCCACTAAAAACGATGGAAGCCAAAAAACCACCACCGACAGCCTCTTAAAGCCGGCCACCAATTTCATATAGGAGCTCTTAATGTTAGGACACTTTGCCAAATAGGACAACAAGCATCACTAGCCAAGACCCTGGCATCACGAGCCATTGATGTATGTTGTGTTTCAGAAACACGCATACAAGACCCAAGTGTGGTTATTCACCTAACCCCACCTGGCCAACAGGATGAATCTGCAAAATTCACCTTGAGGGTGTCAGGAGATGCCACAGCTAGTTCACGAGGATTAGCTGGCGTAGGGATAGCTTTGAGTACTAGGGCAGAAAAGACATTGCTTGACTGGATCCCGGTAGATAGCCGAATGTGTGCTGTCCGTCTGAACGGATCAGTAAGAAGGAGAAAGGACTGCACTACTCGCCGATGCCTTTTCGTAATCTCCGCCTACGCCCCCACTGACTGCAGTTCGGATGAAACGAAGGATGAGTTCTACCAAAAGCTGTCTAGTTTGGTGCGAAAGGCTAAACGCTCAGATATAGTCGTTCTAGCTGGTGACTTTAATGCTCAAGTAGGGAAATTGTGTCAATCTGAGAAGGATGTCGGTGGCACCTATGGAGTTCCGTGCCAGCGAACCGACAACGGTGACCGTCTCCTACAGTTCTGTTCTGATAATCATTTGTTTCTTGTAAGCACTAACTTCAAACACAAGGAGAGACACTGTTTGACCTGGCGACCCCCATCATCAAACCAACGCTGGACACAAATAGACCACATAGCAATAAGCTATCGTTGGCGTGGGTCGGTAGGAGATTGTCGCTCCTTCTGGAACACGTGTGTAGATACCGATCACGCACTGGTCCGCGCTCGGGTGTGCTTACGACTGAACGGACGTAGGAAACAGCTGGCGGTAAAACCATCACGTCCCCAGCTCGATCAGGAAACTAAATCCGTATTTGAGGAAGAACTAGCTAAACGCATATCTGAGTTCGACAGCTGTGCTCACCCTGAAGAAGCCTGGAAGAATATTCAGTCAGCCATAGATACAGCTGTAAAAGCTGTGAATAAGGTAAATCCAAAGGTGAGTAAAAACCACTGGATTTCGACTGCCTCATCCGAACTGATAGATGCTAGAAGACTTATTCCGGCGAGCTCCGAATTCAATGAGGAGCGAAAGCTGCACAAGAGGAAACTTACGAAAAGTCTCCGCAAGGACCGTGAACAGTGGTGGGTGACAAAGGCGAAAGAGATGGAAAAAGCATCAGCGATAGGCAACTCTTTAGACTCATCAGGGAAACGGGTGGGAGAAGGCAAATCATAGGTGAGACAATCTCGGAGAAAAATGGCTCCTTAATTAGCTCTCAGGATAGACGCCTTGAACGCTTTGAGAAACAACTTAACTTGCCTACAGCCACATTGAACCTCCCCGCCATCCGGCACACCCGAATGGGATATAGACACTGGTCCGCCGTCTGTAAGTGAGGTCACAAAAGCTATCTGTAATTTGAAACGAGGCAAAGCGGCAGGACCCGACGGAATTATTCCGGAGTTGTTTAAATATGGGGGTGGCATACTGTTATGTACTCGTCGCTAAATTATTGTTATGGACTGGTCGAGAAACTAATAGTCCTGACGCAAGAAGGCGGAAATCAGAAGAGCATTAGGTTTGCGATGATACTTCTATTTTCCAAACACAAGAAGACGCAATAAGTGGTATCACACCAAGTAAGTAAGTGGTGTAAGTGTAAGTCACAAGATTGTGAGAACGAAATATATATAAAAAGGGTGTGAACAATCATTAGACAGTCTTAACATGAATGGCTAATTATAATGAAGTATCGATCCACATATACATAGCGAAATATAGCAGACATGTCAACAACCACCATATATGGATATATGTCACCAAGCAACGGACTGTCAACAAACACTCATATTATATATAATATAAGGAGAATATACATTGTTAAAGGAGACAAGTTCATACAAGTGAAATGGTCACAGACTAAGAGAGAGAACAGAAAGAGAGACCAACATACACACACATAAATATATATATATATATATATATATATATATATATATATATATATATATATATGTGGATACATATCACATACTATTTTGTAGATTAACTGAGGTACTAGGCAAAGTCTGGGAATCAGAGACAATGCCATCAGACTGGGGTAAGTCACTTATTATACCGATATTCAAAAAGGGAAACAAGTCCACGTGTGATAATCATACGGGGATCAGCCTGACGAACATAGTCTCTAAAATCCTAGGCTCAGTAATCATGCATAGACTAAGCAGAACTCGGGAGGAACAGACAAGGGAAAATCAAGCAGGCTTTAGACCAGGTAGAGGGTGCATAGATCATATCTTCACTCTTCGACAGATTCTAGAACATAGACACACTTTTCGGCGTCCAACAATTGTCATATTTCTTGACTTGAAGGTGGCCTTCGACTCCGTGGATCGAAAGGCACTATGGCAATGTTTGACTGTGAAGGGAGTGCCAAGAAAGTACATTGCACTAATCAAGGCACTCTATTCAAACTCACGTAGTCGTGTAAGGGCTTATGGGGAATTGTCATCTGAATTGGTAACAACCAGTGGTGTCCGACAGGGATGTCCACTTTCCCCATTTCTGTTTAACTTCATCGTAGATGTCCTGATGGAAGTATCCTTAACTGAGCGTAACGACTTAGGAATCGACTTGTTACCAGGGAATGGTTTTATGGACTTACAATATGCAGATGACATAGTCCTGTTAGAGGAGGATGCTGACAAAATCCAGCAGAGTCTTCTGAACACCTTGAGCAGCAATCTTCGTATGTTTGGCATGCGATTCGCCCCTACAAAATATAAGATGCTGCTACAGGACTGGACCACGTCAACTCCTAACTTAGTGATAGGGAGTGAAGTGATAGAACATGTTGACCACTTCAACTATTTGGGAAGTTGTATCAGCACCAACGGAGTGATTGGCGATGAAATCTCAGCACGGATCCGAAAAGCTCGAGCTGCTTTCGCTGACTTACACCATCTCTGGCGTAGGCGTGACATCCGGCTATCAACCAAGGGACGTGTGTACTGCTCAGCAGTTCGCTTCATCCTTCGCTATGGCTCTGAAACATGACCAATACGAGTTGAAGACATGAAAAGGTTGACTGCTTTCGATCATAGATGTCTGCGATCTCTTTCTCACGTTAGGTGGTTTAATAAGGTAAGTAATGTTGACGTTAGGCTTAGAGTGTTGGGCAGGCAAAGAGGGAAAATCAATCGACGAGGTTGTAAAGTTACATAGATTGAGATGGCTAGGTCACGTGCTGCGCATGCCTAACCATCGCCTCCCCCGACGGACATTACTAGCTGATATAGGTGCAGGTTGGAAAAGAGTAAGAGGTGGCCAAACAAAAACATGGCAACAATCCATGAAATCCTTGACAGTTAAACTGAGTAAGGTAGGGAGGGAGATGCAGACTTCCGGGTTGAGGCCCTTGGGACTCTAGGAATCAATGGCTGGAGACAATAGATGACATGGCTCAAAATCGTTGTCAATGGCACAGATGTATTCAGTCTCTGTAATCTTTCATATTCCTTTCTACCATTACCCATTCTGTTTCACTCTTATACTTGTCAGACTGTATTGATTCTCTTCACTCATCTTCTTGTCTACCTTTGTGTGCTATTTGGAAGGTGGCAACTCGAACTGTTGCACTTCGGTGTCAAGTTCTATGTTGAATCCAGACAGACGTGGTATCGGGCTGGTTATCGACCGAAGGACGTGTGTACTGCTCAGCAGTTCGCTACGTTCTCCTTTATGGTTGGCTGGCTGGCTGGCTGTGTGAGACGTGGCCGTTGAGAGTGGAGGACATGAAAAGCCTTCCTGGCTGGCTGTATTTGATCACAGGCGCTTGCGTTCTATCTCCCGTGCCAAGTGGTATAATAAGGTGAGCAATATTTGAGGTTAGGCGTCGAGTGCTAGACAGGGAGGAGAAGTCAATCGACGAAGCTATGAAGCTACCTCGATTGAGATTGTTAGGACATGTGTTGCACATGTATGACTAGTATTAGTGTTACTTTTAATCTTGGCACCTTCATAATCCTTATTTACTGCATAATCGAACTGTGTGTTAAAATTTTTCTTACATCTTAGGTTAACAACTTGATTTAACCTTTTGATGGAGTTTGGAGGGGGTCTCCTCTTTAAAAATTTAAGACAATTTGTTCTCTTTATGAATTTAGTTAGTTAGCCACACGAAGCAATAAGAAGACACAGTTTTGTCTGAATCGTGTATTGTGTATGTATTTGAGCGCAACACTTATTGCGAACAATCTGATCCATCACTCACACACACACACGGACTTTTCACAGGAGTTCATACACATATGAAATTGATAAAGAGTTAAGAGGTGATAAAATAGACAAGTTAGGTCAAGTTGAAAGGAGGATATATTGAAGGTCAATATAACAATGCAGATCAATCACTAAACCAAATAGAAAAGGTTACATAGTACATCTACCTTGACTGGTGGCGATCAAACCAAAGTTTACCAAGGATGGTAGGTTTAGTGCAATGACGACTAGTTGCTTTGATCGCATGAAGGTGGTTTAAACTTCCTAATAGCTAGGTAGGACTAGCTTCTACAAACTATAGGATGCGTCCTTCCCGAACACGTTCTATAGATACGTCAATTTTATTTTCTGTCTCCTGTGTAATATGTTTGGTAATAGCGGAGCTATTTCGTCGTTTGTTCTCACCATCAATTAATGGCTTCTGGGGATTCTGTTTGCTTCTGAAGCTATTTAGGAATATGCTCTGAAGTCAGCCATTACTTGCAGAGTCCTCCCTCCTACTATGTACATTGTCCTATATTGATTTTATGTAATTATCTAGTCAATTCCACATATGTATACAAAAATGGAAGAAGTTGTGTGAGTAACTTGATATGATTATGAGCAATAGTCTGTGCTCGAAACGTCATCAGTTAATATTACTGTGTAACACTGTGTGACTTATCAAAAGAAAATCTCATTCATAATGGAGTTATACTTACCCACAGTGCCCAAGCTTTATACTCATTTCTTCATTCCTATGTATGTATGTATCCTCACGTACATGCAAATTGGTAAACTCGGTTAGTGGGGGGGGATGACATCAGTTTTTACATGTTCAAAGGGTTTAGATGGATATATTAGCTTCATATTCTCATGTATTATTGTGATATTAGCTGCATAAAAGGCCTTTTCAGCCACAATAGCGTCCAATTTTCGTCTAGTTGTCAAGCTGCTATGATCCCCCTCCCATATAAAGTAGCTTGATATACACGTCTTTCTTACCGGAAGCGAGTTGGAGAATGGATCTTAAATCTTTTTTTGTCACCTTGTTTAGTTTAATTGCCCTTATTTTTTTCCTCCCATATATCGACTTGACAAGGAAATGTGCTAGGGGTCGGATTATTCGAAATGTATAGCTCAAATACATCACTTCACATCACATATGTTTTCAGATAATCTCCGTCTTCCTATTTATTATACATAAGTATAATGAATCATTTTTTGAAATGTTTCCCCTGATCAGTGTATTTTTTGTTGGTTTGTTTGTTTGTTTTTCAAGTGTTGGTTTTCTAGGATTGGTTGGCTGGAAGATTTCATCATGAACACTGACATCGGTTGGTGGTTAGAGAATCATAGGAAAACCAGTCACAGAGAGTACTGTCAGACAGCTGTTTCCTGCGTCCTAATTTGGGACTCTTCGGCAATACCCACTCGCCGGGGTTTTAGTGGGAAGCTGTGACCAGTAGGCTACAACACCAAGTGGAAGGTGAGGACAGTTATTCATCGGAGAATACATTGCTAAGTGGTCGTTTATGAATTGGTAGAAGTTGGTACTCATGGCCTGGCTGGCTGGGTGCACATTGTATCCAGTTCCAGCGAGTGAGTGGCTTAATGGTCTACGAGGTCGCTTGGTGGCCTTGTAACCAGAAGGTGGTCGTGGGTTCGAACTCCAGTGGTGTCGGTGCGTACTGCTGAAGAGCCAGTCCCAAACTAGGCTGGCGAAACAGCTGTCTGGCAGTACTCCATGTGGTTGGTTTTCCAATGTTTCTCTAACTGTTTGTTGGTTTTCGACAATCATTTGTCATTGCTGTTTGTAGATGCTGCATTTTTTTTCTTTTTCAGATCTCGGTTAATCTATCAGTGTTGTCAACATCAATGGCAGCATCGTCCTGCTTCATTAGACCATATTATAGCAATTCTGCGAAAAAATCCTGAATGTGTGCGTCCTTTTCTTACAGATGAACCGCCTAAACCTAATAGCACCATTGACGCCCTTCGTGTGAGTGTTCATCTCTGTGTTTCAATTTTTCTTTTCTCTTTGTTTTACGATGCCATTTAGGGTGATGTTGCTGAGGCATTGTAAATCGATATTTAGAAAGAAGGATTGAGCAAGGAAATATTTACTTTTCAGTTAGATCCTCATCTCACTCTGGCTCTACTCTAATATACACACACGTATAGCATTTTTATTATAATACACAACAATTTACGAATGAAGTGGCACTGATATGTTTGTTAACATTAATTAGTCACTTTGAACCTGTCACTGGGAGAGGGTGATAATTAATGAAGAAAATTAATACGTACACAATTAAAAAGTAAAAATGGTTGCAACACATGGATTGCGCAATTTACATAATCGTGGAGAAATGAAGAGTGATTAAGAAATAGGCGTGTGCACAGGTTGATTACGTAGCAGATTGTTAAAGAAAATAAAACGGTTTGTACAATGATAACTTGTAACTAGAGATGAAGTAGTCAGGAAAAATAAAATAATTTGGACAATTATAAAATTTAAACGATTTAGGGGGAGGGGCGTCTAAGTAGTCCGGTTTATACATTCATGTAACGATGGCCAAGGTAAGGAAAGTGGCTGTACAAAGTTCTCCTGAACAGATACATAGAGGTTTGGCTTCTTCAGGTGGATTCCTATTGCTTTAGCTGTCGTATGTAGAAGACGAACTCTTAAAGCAAATTTAAGATTGGTAGGAATGCAATAAACAATCTTAAATGCAGTATTAACGTCAACTTTATGCTCATTATCTAGAAGGTGTGCTAAAATAGAGCTGCTACGAATAGATCTTGTTCGTCCCTTGCTTAACCATTATGCTGGATGATGTTCACCCGATGTAGCTGGCTCCGCAGTTGTAGTCAAACTGGTAGATGCACATACAGGAGGCAAATTTAGGTATTTTATCCTTATTTCTCGAACGTAGAATAGGGGTGGTTGTGAAGAGAGAACTTACCTCTGCTGCACAACAAGCTGTTTTAACTGCATTCTTCAAGTGCTCGCGGTGCTATTATTTCACCAATGTTATCACCGAGGAAATGCAGTTTTATAAACATTGATTTTTTCGGAACTGTCATACTGACTCTCCTAGGTTCTAAATTCATATTTTTCTCAATGAACAACTTATCTGGATAACCATCTTTTCTAAGTAATTCTCACCACTAAACTGGTCTGTACATTCGTGTGTATGCATAGTAAATGTGTGAGAAAGTTCCAGAATTATTTCTTTTCAAACGTTAAATTAATAAAATTACGAAGTTTAGTAAACAGAAGATAGATAGTGGTGTACTGTCCTAGAAATATTCCAGGTCAATGATCAAATTAAACAAAAATTACACTGTGAAGTAATCAGGTAGAAAAGACATGATAATTACTGGAAAATTCGTGAATTTGCAGAAGTTAGAATTCACGGGTCATTGGATCGGGTCCCCGCGCCTTAATGGTCTGCGAGGTCGCCTTGTAAGCAGAAGGTCCTGGGTTCGAACCGCAATCGGGTGGGTGCGTACTGATGAAGACTCCCAAGTCAGGAGGAAACAGCTGTCCGGTACTCCCACGTTTTCCAGTGGCTCTGTAACTGATGTCAGCTCATGATGAAATCCTCCATCCAATCGAACAAAATCCTTACGAAACCAATTTTCGAAATTACTGGAAAACTTGTCAGTTTGTATAATTACGGAATAAGGACGTAGTATTAACAAAATAGGTAGGAGGTTCGGAATTATAAAAATAAAAAAAGTAAAAAACAGCAACCAAATCTAGTAGTGCAGATAGGAATGAAAAACGTAAAAATAAAAGAAATAAACAATAAGGTTAGATAGGAAAAGTAATTGGATAATTAATCATTATCGATGGGACTGACTTTTCATGATGGCCAGAGTAGGGACAACAGTTGCACTGGACGTATTTTTTTTGGACACATAGAGTAATAGGCTTAAGTTTTTGGATCGTCAGTGCCTCAGCTATTCCCAGCCAGCCTGCGTCTCTATCTCCTTGAGCGAAATTGAGATGAAGTCAGTTTGGTTTTTGGTTCGCCCGTCTGGTGACACCCATGTAGCCTTGTGGATATGTTTGTGCTTGTATACGCTGCCGCTAATCACTAGTTCATTGAAGTCACAGAATTCAGCGAAGAGTTTTCCGTTCTTACTCATCTCTCCAAATGCTTCTCTACCTATAATGAGTTCTCTTCCTGTGTTGTCTGGTGCCAGTTTGGCGTTCATGTCAGGACACTCGCCGACCATGCACATGGTCCAGGGTTCGATCCCCGGCCGACGCACTCCTTTACCTCGCTGAGACATAAATAATGCTGGTAAAGAAGAAAGGTTGGGCATGGGGCTAGCAACCCCATCCTGTGAAATAAACACTGCTACAGAAACTTCAAGCCACTAGCTTGGAGCCCTATGTTCCACTGGGGAACGTGAAGGAAAAATTATTATTAGGATTTTAGTGTTACCAGCTGGAGTATTGTCTAGTGTTGCCTGTAGAACACTTCTTTCTTTTCTACGTCCGCATTCCTTATGGACGCATAGCATTGTATAACTGACACTACTTCCTCTGAAGTTGAATCTGGCGGTCATTATCCTGGACGAGATCACCTCCCATTGCATCAGGGCCTTCGTTGCCGTTGGTGACATCATGATAGCCACATCCTCGGTGTGCACGTGGTTGTCTTCTGGGTGACCGGAGCAGATCACTGGCTATTCCGTTGACTATTTCGTAGTTCTATTCCCATTCTGTCTGCTTTTACACATTCCCAGTACTTGAATTCCGTATATTTTCATCTAGTTTGCAATCTGGGCACCTTTGCCAGTCTCGTACATGGTGCGGACGCTCTGTGCCCCCTTACAGACTTTTTCTTTTGTCGCAAGGAGACTCATCTTACTGAAGTTTCTGTATCAACTTTGTTTGCAGGGTGGGGTTGCTAGTCTCACGTCTGAGAAGGGGGTTGTTACATGCATATATAGCTAACAGAGGAGCGACTTTTTGGGTTGCTCCCCTTAGCAGCAGGAAAACAAGGAATAAAGCAATCAGAACAACAGCAGCAAAAGGAAAAAATTCACAACGGAGAAGGCGGTGACAACAACAAAAAAACCTTTGCAGTAGTATCACTGTTATGTCGTTAAATGTAAACCAAAGACATAAGCTCAGTGATGATTGGTTAAAACATTTAAAACTATATATATATATATATATATATATATATATATATAGCGGTTTGATCAATTGAAAATATACCTTGGCTTCCGTGTCTTGCCCTCTTCTGCTGTTACAAATTAACTTGGCCCAAAACTGTAATCCGGGTATGATTATCAATACAGGCAGTTTTTATAATGTTTTATGAAGTGATATTTTTTTAATCGATAGACTGTCATAATGTTTTTCTGTCAAAATTGACACATAAAATACCCTTTTTATTTTCCTCAGTTCCAACCAGGTGCTGGTGCTTGTATCATGTCAAAAAATACCCTTGCTTCCGGTGATCCATCTCCGAGTAATCCGGTAATAAGTAATCCTACTTCAGATAGCACTCATGGTTATCCTTTCACTACTGGTATACGTGGTGTCCTTAGCGCAACGGGTAGTTTAGGTGGTGGCGGTGGTATTGGAAAGTCTCTCTTGGATCATCATCATCATCGTTCAACTGATTCCTTTTCAGAAAATATCAGTACTTCTGTATTTCTTTCATTTCTCTCGGACCCTCCATTGCAAAATTTTGGCCGACGCAGTCACCATCGCCGCCGCCGACACAAGACTGCTGATGATGGTTGTTCAACAAGAATTAGTCGCTACCATGATATACGCCGAGGAACTAGTTGTTCTTCTTCATCTTCTTCTTCTGCTTATGGTCATACTTTCCGTAGCTCTGAGCAACAAAGTTTTGGTGATCACCGTCCAACCACTATCGAAGACCAACCTCTCCATCCTACAGGTGGGGTTAGTGGTGGTGGCGGTGGCGGTGGTCGTGGTGATTCAGTTTCTTTCCCTATGTGGCGAAAATCGAAGACTGCAGAAGAAAAAGAAAAGTCTAGTCGGCTTCGAAATCTGTTATTCAACAAACAAACCAGTGTTGAACATGGTGATGATAATGACGATGATGATGAGCATGTGGAATTGATTGTGTCAAAGAAGACAACCACGGAGTATTCTGATCCTATTCATGCTGTACTGAATGATTCCTACACAACAGTTAGACAGTTAACCGGAGATCTGCTGAAAAATAAATCTCATATTGAAAATAGACATGAAGACAAGAATTTACCGCTTGGATCAAGGTAAGACGCACATTTTGCTTTATTTTAAATAGGATTAGCATTTATATCTTGAAAATCATGTTGTTGTAAGTAGACAAAAGGTTTATGGTTATCAGTGAGAACACTTTTGTGAGTCTGTCTCAGAAAAATACACGCTGTTGACTGTAAATAACAAGGGAATTACACGATAACAACAACAACAGAAAATGCAATTTTGTAGGGATTTTTTTGTTTGATTGATTGGTTGATTGGAGGATTTCATCATGAGCACTCACTTCGGTTGGTTAGTTAGAGGACCATTGGAAAACCAGCCGCAGGGAGTACTGCTAGACAGCCAGATGTTTCCTCTTCAGCAGTACGCACCCACCCAACCGACTGGGGTTCGAACCCAAGACCACCTTTTAGGTACAGGGTGAGCCAGCTCATAGACCATTAAGCAGCCACTCACTCACTGGGACCCGATTGAATGGCCAGCCAGACTCTGAATTCTAACTTCTGCCCTATTTAGGTAGACAAGTATTTACCTGGGGTTCTAGTGAGAAGCCGTGACCAGTAAGGTACAGCAGGTTGAAGGTGAGGCAGTAACTTGTCGAATAAGACATTGCGAAGTGGTTTCGCTATGTCGTGCGTGATTTGGCGAAAGTTAGGATTCATGGACTAGCTGACCATTGGATTGGGTCCCACCAAGTGACTGGCTGATTAATGGTCTACGAGCTAGCCCACCTTGTAACCAGATGGTCCTGCTTTCAAACCCCAATGCAGTGGGTGGGGAATAATGTACAATCACAGTTTGTCATCAAACAAAGCATAGGAATTGCAGTTAAACCTCTCTTTACCTCCACAGTTCATCGACTTCGAAAAGGCCTCTAACGGTGCAGCGTTGACCGAAAAGTAATTTAGAAACTACTTCAACACTACTCCTCGCAGTGTCCAAGTCTTTATCAACCTCATTCAACAGCTGGCTGGCTATATGACAATGAGGCCTCGTATCAGGTGATCCACAACGGAAAACTCAGTGAAGAATTTGAAGTGCAGACACGAATAAGACAAGCTGGCTGCCTATTATCACCGACGATGATATTGTTAATTGTGGTGGACTGCATTATGCATCAGACTGTGCGTTGGAGGCGAGGAGACGGGAATATGCTGGACGACCGATAAGAAGACTCTAAAAGATCTGGATTTCGTGCCTGCGTGATATATGTCTGTTGTCACACAAACTCGTAGACTTGTAGGCATGCAAAAACCAACATGCTGGCTGCCAGCAAAGACAGGACTGCGGGTGAACATAAAGAAGATGGAGACAGAGGTGAAGAAGATAACTAACCAACCAATTAAAATCAACAATAACAACCAGCAGCAATCGCCATCAACGGGAGAGATTTAACAGAGGTTGCCTCCTTCACTTATCCAGGCAGCCAGCATCATTTCAACAACAGGCGGATGCCAATCAGCCACTCAGAATCGGAAAGGCAAGACACTGATGCCTTCATCAATCTGAAACCAGTTTGGAAGTATTCCGCTCTCACTCAGCATAGGGAACAAAATTTGGATTTTCAACACCAATGTCAAGTTGGTCACTCCTTCTATACAAGTGAGAAACTTTCACCGCGTGTGTCACGAAAAGGATTTCCAACAGCTAGTGGCAGACTTTCATCAACAGCTGCCTTCTCTCCATACTTAAGATCAAATGGCCGACCAGAGAGAATTAGTAACAGGAAACTGTGGCTGAGAACAAATCAACAGACAAGAGCCGATCGCTCAAGAAATGTGTCGGTGAAATGGATTGGAGATGGATTGATTGGGCATACATTGAGGAGGGTGGCTGGCGAATGACATTATGCCCAATGTGTGCCATTATCCACCACTCGAGTGGAATCACAATGGGAATCTACAGACGAGTAGGTCGTCGGTGCTATTGTGACATGGAGAAGATCGTGTGGCGAGGATGAGGAGGAGGAGGAGATGAGAAATTATTATGGTTAGTCGTGAAGCTAGTCAGCTCAAAAGGCCGTCAGAAAACAGAATAAAGTGGAAATGTTTTGCTGAAGACAGCCCTATGTTCCACTCTGAACTCAAGGGAATAATAATAATAATAATGTTATATTATCTGTTCACTTGATGTTCATTATGACGCGCCAGACCCTTTACTTTAGCTTTTCTACTACTATTATTATTGACGTAAAGACTGTCCTGAGATTTGTTTTTTTGTTCGCATTGAATTTTGAGTAGATACATTACTGTTTTTGAATAATAATATATGATTTTCTTCGTCGACATTCATTTCTAGGTCACTGTCTGCAGAGCATATGCTTTTAGTGGATTATATACAAAAAAATGAAAAGCCTGTACATGCAAAAAGTGCTCCAGATAATGCCTCCTCCTCCTCTGCCTTCACAGCATATATTTCACAATCCACATCAAAGTCTGCATACATTCTTTTAGATACTGATAAACAGTTCACCTCCGTCCATAATTACGATTGTCAACCTTATCAAGATACATTGCCAAACGGACTTAGAGTTGACATTCTTCGTGAAAATAATTACTCCAACAGCAGCTGTAAGACTGAAGTCGTTACACGTAATGCATGTCATTTACACACTCATCACAATACACCTAGCATATTTCGTTCTGTATTATTGATTTTTTCACGTTCTCGTCGTAAAAATAACTCCTATCCCCCTGATAATCTAAGGATTACTAAGTCTTCAGTCGTCTGTCAGCCTATTTCATCAGACAGTATTCATCATACTTGTGTTACATCACATTTGTTTTCCACATCATGTCCATCGATATTTACATCACCACACTTTCCTGTTTTCAATTGTAATGCTTCAGATAATACTAAGAATAATAATACTAATAAATGCTCTATTCCTTCTGTATCGTATCTCACCACCTCATCATCAACTTCAGAACGTCATCAACAACAACACCAACTCCATCATCGTTACCCTGTAAAGAATGAAGCCAATCGAAAGAAAACAGGTGACTGTCATGCTCCTAACTTTGTAAATCCAGTATCGGATACAAAGACGACTATTGACTGTGAATCGTTTAATTCAGAACAACCTGTTAGCAGTCATCATCATCATTTATCTTGTATACCGCCAACTGTAACTTCAGATGAATCTGTTAGAAAATCGAATCACTCTTATTTCGTTTAATCTCTCTCTTTCTGTGCCTACATTTTTAAAAACACCTCCCGGTTTCAATAACCCTTCTTTTGTCGTTTATATATTTGTATCCTACCTCAAATATTATATACTATTATTATTGTAATGTTTAGTGAAACTGGAATCCCCTGATGATGGGCAAATAGACAAGAAGTGTGTGTGTCGGGGGTTGGGGTAGCGTGGGGTGCGGAGTGGTGGTTGCTAACTAAATTATTATCTTATGCTCGTCAAACGCTTTACAATATTCATAAAAAGGATAGAACTCTGCGCTGATTGTTCTTCTTTTTATTATTATTATTAATAAGTCTGCTTATTATGTCATGTTACTTTTATGCTATGGTGAATGTACGTCAAAATTTGTGTGTGTGTGATGTGTTTGCGTTGTATGGTGTTGTGTATAAGAATCCGTTTCCCACTATATCATATATTTATTTTGAATAATCTTTAATCGTTTGTTTGATAATACTTTTTTAGGCTGTTCTTCATGTAAAGCACGTTTTAATTGTTGTATTATTACTACTGTTGCGTCTTCATTCATTCATTTACATTTGTTTGTTCGTTTATTTGTATTATTCAAAGCTGTATATATAATAATATTAAATTGTCATGGATCTTGGTATTGTTACAGCAGAAGGCAAGACACGGAAGTCTGTATCACACCACTGCACCACACTCATCCCACTCTGTCTGTCTGTCTGTTTTCGACATAGAACTTTGCACAAATGTGCGGAAGTTCAAGTCGCCACATTCCGTGTAGCACGCGAAGCGAGAGAAGAAAGTACAAGAAAAGCATAATAGAAACAGTGAGCAGAGGTGTGAGACAAAGGAGTAATAAAGAAATACAAAACAGTTTCATTGGAAATCATAAGTCACAGGGAGTGGATGCAACTGCGCCACTCACCCACTCACCCCCCATCAAATGCTTTAGACTAAAGTCGGTTCGATCTTCTTGGTGCTCGTGGCTTTGTTTGCTTGTCTTGCTGTATCCAGTTATGGAGCTCGTTGACGGTACATACGTGACCCTGTCTCGCGGTGTATGGTCCTTTCCCTACTTTGGAAGCAGTTTGCGTGACTCTAGCTGTCTGGCGCGTATTCGCCAGTGTTTCGCCTCACACTGTCATCATATGCTGCCTTCACCCAACCTCTACTGTCAGCAGCAGTGTTCCAAGTAACAGTGTCTTCACTGATGGATCTTGAACGCCATTCAACTCCACAACAGTCTCGAAATCCCGCAAAACTACAGGGCAGAGGCTGTTCATTCGTTGACAAGGCAGCGAAAGCAAGTGTTTAACAGCAGAAGTCAAGACACGGAAGCAAATGTATATTTTTAAGTGATCAAACTAATATTTATTTGTATATCTATACAGTTTATATTCTTTAACGAGTCACTGAGCCAGCGCGTGATTTTTGTTTACATTAAACGACATGCAATAGAATATTCAAATAAATACATAAATAGTATCGTATTCTGTTGCTAATACAGTATTGAACTGTGGGAACAGTATATTTGAGAACAATGTTCCGTTGGAAGATATTGTTGTCTGTATCACACCACCACAATATGATTATTGTTCAAGATTACAATAATTTCGCCTATGGTTGCCAGTTGAATGAGTAGTAGGTGGGAGGTAGGGATGTCTTAGTTTATCTATATATCTCCTTATCAGTAAATAAACGATTGTATATAGATAAAGATTTTTTGTTTTTTCAGTTCTAATCGATTTCCATTTAGACTGGACACTAGTCAGTAACTAGTGGTATGTGTCTAGCTAGTCTTTTGTTTAGTGCAGACTGAATTCTATTAGTCACTCAGGTTTGCAATGTGGCCACCATGCCACTGGGTGGTGAGTGGCTTACCATCAAGGTGCACATTGATTTCATGATGAAATTAGTAGGTTGGAAGTAATCGGCCACAGGAAGGAAGACTTGCTCGACCTAGGTTTCGTGCTAGTTGGGCTCACTAGTCAGTCAGTCAGTCAGCAAGGTGTGTATCTGCAACCACAGTGTAGGAACGACCCATGTCCCTCCTTCTGAGATTCGAACCCGCACGTCACTACCCAGTGAGTCAGGGATGTTACTATGTATACAATCGAAAACGGCCTTTTTTGCATTTGCATAACTTATCTGTTCATCGTTTAGTTTCCTTGTGGTTTATTTGAAAGAAAAGAAGAAGAAAAGGTAGAGAATACACTAATTTACCGTTGACCTGATAATTTTGTGTGTATGTATGTGTTATACTTCTTTCTCTCTAATAATAGGCTAATCATACTAATCAATGAAAAATGTGTTGACTCAAATCTGTAATAATAATTGATTCATAGAGATCTGTTGTCTTTCCCGTAGTCTGATTTAAATGGTTTCCTTGACGTGTTGTTGTTGTTGTTGGTACTATTTACTCCAACTGATGATGAGGACATTGGTTTACAGATTTCCTGTTGATTTTTGCTATTTGTAACTGGTTGAAGTCTTTGGAAATATGAATGCTGAACTGAATTTTTTTTTAAAAACGCGTTCTTCAAGCGCGTATCAACCTTCAAGCTAAGTGGTTTGTTGAGTTCACTCAGTGTAGTCAACAGCGTAGATGCATGTTTGACTTTCAATTCCCTCTTAACTTAAACAGTATGCACATTGTCTCGCCACTTATTCTTCCAGGCAGCTAGACATTCATGTGATGACTGCTATCAGTATTATTTTTTACCAATTTGTTCATCTCTTTAGTGTCCTAACTTGTCAGTCATAGACGATATTCATCTCTGATTTAAATATAGCGAAAATATTCAAACATCTAGGAAAAAGAACAAAATCGAGCAAAGAATACCGATAATTTCCCCCTCCACTGGCTCTACAATTATGTATCTGTTTTAAATATATAGAATATTCAACAAATATGTATGAGAAAATGGAAATGGATTGATCGGGTTATCCACTGAGGAAACCATTGAATGGCATCACCTGCCAAGCCATCTCTCGAATGGAATCCAAATGGGAAGCGACGGACGAGTGGATGGTCGGTGCTATTGTGACATGTAGGAGATCGTGTGTCAAGAATGATTCAGAGGAGGAGGAGGAGATTAGAGACTATGGTCAATCGTCGAGCTAGCCATCTGAAGAGGATGGCATAAAATAGAAGAAAGTAGAGATGTGGTGTTGTTGAAGCCAGCCCTATGTTCCACTCGGAACTCAAGGGAATAATAATATAAATAGAATAGTCGTCAATAACAATATTGGTGTGCTTTTAAAATACTATGGATTTGTTAAGTAGGATCACAATGGAATTACAGAGTTCACGAAAGATGCATAAATTATAATGAAAAGCACAAAAATATAACAGCAAACAGAATATCAAATAAAATTAAGGAAATCTCTATAACAACCAAATAAGGATCATTGGAACCATGATTCGTGACCAGAGAGGTAAGGACAGTGTCTGAACGAACTTCTTTTTTGGATACATACATAAGTTAGACTTCTTAATATGGATCCCAACAGCCAGCCCAGCGGTATGTAGTAGACGAACTCTTAAGGTGAAGTTAAGATTAGTTAGTTGGTGTGCGCGATAAATGACTTTGAAAGCCTCTTTAACATCAATCTTGTGTGTTCTGTATCCACAAAATGAGTGGGATAGAATAACGCTATGAATTGATTTCTGATTTTCACAACTTCTTACATCCTTGAAAAGCAAAAAAGCACAGTACGATAAGCGTGGGACGCGGGAGTTAGATTTAGAACTCTAAGAAGTTACGTGTTTCGGTGGAGAATGTAAAGTGTAATAACCAAGAAACTGTGTATCCAGAGAATCTACACCAAACACTTGCAACAGAAGAAATGGTACAACACTAATATCAAATAAATGAAAAATATTACGAGCAAAATCAATGTACATATCCGCTTGAATAAGGTATTTAGTAGACAAATTTCACGAGATGATCAAATCGTCATTTCGTAGTTTCTCTACAATCACTTTACAACTAGCAAGATGGTTGTTTCACAATAATAATAAAATAAAATGCATAACAACTATTCACTTACATAAAACAAAAGTACATACTATGCTAATGACCAATCATATTTTTAAATAGGTCAAGTAGTCAGTCCATGGTAGGCAAAAGGTTGAAGTTTATTGTTTTGACTGTACACACAGTCTAGGATATATGTGATTAATCGCTGAAGAGTGCTTCCATCATCACCTTTAATAATAACCAACCTTAAATAAGAGTTATCCGATGAAATAATTGTGAAACAGTCATTATTATTGATTTTGTGACCTGGAATTAGTATATTCTTTGCGATAGGTGATGATGGTGAGACTGATGGATTTCTTTTTAGAGTGATAATTCCAGTGTGATTTTCTATGTGTTTCAATAACCATTTTGGAAGATGTTTTCGTAGACGACCACATTGGAACATTCTATTGGTTCTACACATATAAGTGTCACCACAACTGCAAGTGAACTTGTAGATACAGACTGAAGTAGAGAGTCCACAGAATTTCATCCTTTAATCGTAAGTACAGGGTTGGAAAATGTTCGGCATGTGAGAGAAAGAGATGTGGCGTAGAATCTGTGCGCTTGATGGCTGATGGAAGTCTTTGAGCTGTCAACCGGATAGATAATTTGATCACCATTGAATGGTAGGTTAATAAAGGCAGCTTTCTTTGTGACTGTTCCACAATTATTTCATCGGATAACTCTTATTTAACTTTGGTTATTATTAAAGGTGATGATGGAAGCACTCTTCGGCGACTAATAACACATATCCTAGACTATGTGTACATACAAAACAGTAGACTTCAGTCTTCGCCTACCATGGACTGACTATTATTTAAGTAATGTATTAATTTAAATTATTATTTTACAAGCTTCAACGTCTTAGGAAGGAATGATGTCACCTGAAGAGAAATAACTGTCTTTAGACTGCAGATTACTATAGAACAACAACTGTGTACATTCCAATGTTTATAGTACTTTGAAAGACAAGTTAGATGATTGAAACTAGACATAGAAATTTTCTAAAGGTGAGTAATTTTTGCTTCATCGATACTTGTAACAATATCCAGCATAATATATCCAAACCAAACATAGTTTTTAAGCCAACAGTATCCAACAGAGATGCCGTTTCCCCTGAAGTAATTGTGATATATAGACCTAATTCTCTACATGTCCGTTTGTCTTCCTCTCACCCTCACACTTGTTGATTTATGACCAAATTTTCTCTCAAGCTACTACTTATGACCTGTTTATTGTTCACTGTCTTAACTTATCAATGATGCTAGTCCTTCTCAAGGTCATTTTAAACATATTTATAGGCAAGGAATTCCATTCGTTTGTTTGGACTGTTGTTTTACAGGCAGTAAAAGCTGTCTCGTCAACGTCCAGTCTCCTCTTCTGTCTCTTGCGGCCAAGCGGTGTTATTGTCTTTGTTGAAGTGCGATTAGGATAGATTGTCAGTCAACGCATTAATTTAGTAGTTGCTCATAGTCTAATATGTCCTAGCTTCAGTCATAACAGTATTTTCCCCTGACACGTCAAAAAGATTGGATCTGGCGATATAACTTATTACGCATTTTGGTATTTCAGTTCCGCTGGGAGTGAAGGCATTCCTGTTTTGCCGCTCTTTGTTATCCTTCACTTTGTGTCTAGATCGGGTATTAATCTGGCTTTAACTCCGGTAATTATTTGGAGTGATGGTATATGGCTGAGGTTTCAGTTTGACTGATACTAAAAGCAGACCTTCATTTTCATCAATCGACAATGCAATTCATTACTGCTTAGCGGCTGAAGCTGTCATTGGAAATTTAAACCAAGATATAAACTAAAGTTATGATCTGGTGTTGGTATCACAATGCCAGCTCGAGATGTGGTTAGGGGAAAACTG